AAGCTGTTTTTATATTTACCCTAATTTAAAAAAATACATACTTAAATGCATGCTTTCATGTGGCGATAACTAGTACTAAGTAGTGAGTTATGTATTTCATTTTATTTTGCATCCATAAATATTATATGTTATTTGTTAAAAGACAAATAGGGATGTCTTCTGAAATAAAGTATTAACAAATAATAGAAGATACATGACACAAAATACTATAAAACTTTATAAACAACTAATTAAACTAAACAATAGTAGCTCAAAATGGATTTACATATTACTCCTGATTGTTAAAATGCCCAGTATGTCTAAGATTTGAATTCATTTTTTCGACCCAGAATGGCAGCCAACAAGAATGGGTTAAAATATCTCTGATGATTGCAGAGACATTGGGAACTGTAAAATAGGATAGTTTGTGTTTGATGAATCTTGAGGAGGTAAACATAACTTTCTGAGTTGTTAATTAAAGTGTGAATCATTAAAAATTCAATCAGAATTGGATAAAAATGCCTTATTTTAGGCTGAAGTTGAACTGAAACAAAAGATTTCCAATGATTTTTTCAAAATTAGTTTGAAACTTTAGAGAATAACTTATTAATAGAGCATGTGTGGTGTCTTTCTTTTACACATAGGTTTGGGGGTTTAAATATATTTTGTTACCCCTTTGTATTGTCCTTGCACTGTCTATGGTTCCTTGGAAGTCTAGCCAAATCTATTTCTAAAATGGGAAACTTCAGGTCAAGTGCTCCATCTCTCTCTCTCTATATATATATATATATATCTCCATCTGTATAGAAGCCCACTGACAAAATTAACAGGTTAAAATAATTTAAAATTGCATTACCCACTTCCTCCATTCCATACATGCGGAGGGGAAACATACTACTCATACTTTGATATATGAAAGGACTACTATAGTGCCAGGAAAACAAACTCGTTTTCCTGACACTATATAGTCCTTAGGTCCCCCCCACCCTCAGGGCCCCCCTTCAGCCACTTACCTCAATCCAGCACCAGACTCCCTCGGCGCTTGTGACCTCTCCGCTCCCTCGGCGCTGGTGACCTCTCCTCCCAGCTCCTGAGTGGAGCCGAATGCGCATGCGCAGCCAGAGCCACGCGCGCATTCAAACGGCCTATAGGAAAGCATTACTTAATGCTTGGGTGACATTACTTAATGCTTTCCTATGGACGTTCTGCGTGATCAATGCGATTTTCGCATTGAGCGTCACGGAAACGCCTCTAGCGGATGTCAGGACGACAGCCACTAAAGGCTGGATTAACCCTGCAATGTAAACATAGCAGTTTCTCTGAAACTGCTATGTTTACAGCTGCAGGGTTAAAACCTGGGGGACCTGGCAGCCAGACCACTTCATTGAGCTGAAGTGGTCTGGATGACTATAGTGGTCCTTTAAGTAAGATGTGGTAAATAATTTTCACCATTCCTTTACAATGTCTTAATAGATGTACTCGTGGTTTTTAAAACTATATAAATTACCCATGATTCTTCTCCTAATCTGAAATTGTGCCAGTATTAAATTTTCACAAAATGAGCGCAACTCACAATACCTTTGCACCCATGTATTTCTTAAAGATGAGGCCACAGTGTTTTCAATAAGTACACTTCAAGTGAGCTCAACTCGTGTCTAACATTAATTTATATATTAATACAAATATTAATTCTATTAATATATGATTTATATAGTATATGTGCCTATCTGAACATGCATATTTTATAAGGCTGTTGGACAAATGATTTTATAATATATAAATATAATATACTGCACACGTAATGACAGACTGATTTTAAAAGCCATATAATTGTTATAAACATACTAAAGCACAAGTCAAAAACATTTTTTTCAAATGAATTTATAGATCATTGTGTGCCAAAATATCTGCACAGATTATGAGCGGAACCTTTCTAAGTTCAATTGGGAGACACCACAAAGGGTAGTTGAAAATGTCAGGGCCAAGATCCTGTGATCCTTTGGGACTTTCATATCTAGTCATACATACATAGAAGAAGTGGCAAACCAATCTGACATTGTGGTGGTAGACAAGGAACAGGACTGCATTGGTGGTGGATGTGGCAATACCCAGTGACTACAACATCAGGAAGAATGAACATGAGAATTTTGTTCGATACCAATGAAATAAAGAGGAGCTAGAAAGCATGTGGAAAGTGAACCCTCAGACTCCCAGGCATCTGGTGGAGGACTCGACAATGAGAAATACACAAAAAATGTGTATCACCCAGGAGGGGTGAGAAAATCGATGTATTTATATATATTTATTCTTTAGGGTGGTCCAGCACTCCTGGGTTTTCTCAAATAAAAGTCTCCTCTATATAAAGGAACTCTATAGAGTCATGAACACAAACATCCTAACACTATAGTGCCTGTGTAGCTGTTTAGGTTTTCAACCCCCTTAGATCACTCTGAAAAGGTGACTTTACTCACCCTTTTTGACACACTGTGTCAGTCTCACTGTGGCTGGCCCTGCCTGTTACCGCCTAGGTGGCTGAGATCATTAATGTTTATGATCTCAGATTATCCTATGCTTTATCATAGGAAAGCATTGGGAGGTTATTGTGCATGTGCAGCAAAACGCTGCACTGCGCCAGACAGCAATTCCTTATAGTGATGCATTGAATCAATGCATCTCAATGGGGAATTTTCAGCGCCTCAATGCAGACCGTGCAGGACTGACACAGGAAGCACCTCTAGGGCCATTTGAGAGACTGCCACTAGAGGTGATACTAGGCAGTAATGTAAACACTACCTTTACTCTAAAAAGGCTGCATTTGCACGCCTGCCACAGGCTATAGACACCAGCACCACTACATTAAGCAGTAGTTGTTCTGGTGAATAGTGTTCCTTTAACTTTTCTTTACTCTATGCCATTGACATTTCAGTTTAAAGCTGACATACTGAGCAGACGTGCAAGTGTGGAGCTCCCACTCCATACACTAAAATTACTCATTTTTTGCCATGATTTTGCCCCCTCCCCCCCACCCCCCAAAAAAGCTAACTCAGAGACCTTGCTACTCCCACCAAGACATGGGAGAAAACTTAAGAAGCTTTCACGTTCCGAAAGTGCCGCTCTTCCGGATATCAGACGCTCCTTCGAAGGGCCGCTATCACAGGCCAGATTTAAAATGGCGCCCGAGGGGCCTATAGACACGAGTGACTCTGATTGGCTCCCAAGACGAGGAAACATATAGGAGACCACAGGATCCTAACGGGGTGTACCAGCGAGCCAACTCCAATGCAGATGCTTCACCCTCTACTAAAGGAGACATTAAGAACCTCCTCTTAGACCTGCAAGAGGTCTGGAAAGCAGACCTGGCAGAATTACAGGCAGAGGTCAGTGGGCTGTGGCAAAGGCTGGGGGATGTTGTGTCCCGAGAGCAAGATCGAGAGTTGCAGCTGACCAAAACCCACTCCCACATGGAGTCCTTCACCAAGCAGGTACAGCATGTTACCCACATTGTGGCATCCTTAGAAACGCGGCACTGCAGAAAAAAATATAAGGATCTGCGGAGTCCCTGAAACAGTGGGCCCAGAGGCTCTAATGGACTTCGTCCACCAAGTGACACAGGCACTAGAAATGAATGGAGAGAGAGACTCGCTGTTCATTGTGTCAGCTTTTAGGATTCGGACGGCACCAACCACCCCTGCAAACGCACCCAGGGGACATTATAGCTGTCACAACTAAACATCTATGGCCAGAATAACTAAAATGGCCCATTCTCAGAAGCACCCTACTGTCGCAGTAGACAACTACAGGTTTTTCGGTCTTTGAAGACTTACCTTTTTCCGTCTTAATGGAGAGAGGCAAGTTTATGCCCGTAACCAAAGCCCTGAGGGAGCAGGGCATCCGGTACTGATGAGGGACCCAGGGTACCCTAGTGGTACCACAGGGCAAGGCGATCATATCCTGTCGGCCATGGAGGATTCAAGCAAAATTTCTGAAGAGTCTCTCAAGTTGCCACCTGTCCCTTCTGCAACAGGGCGGAGAACCGCTATCCCCGGTGTGGTGCGGGAGCTCAGTCCCCAGACGGCAGAGGATGCTCACTCCCTGAGGCTGCAGGGCCCCCCATAGCACACTCCTCAATGTGTTCTCCAGTCTGCAGGCTATCATACCAGCCCTACTATAAATATGAGTTAAATTGATCCTGATGACAAAAAATTAGTTTGGAACTTGTTATTTTCTTGCTGAATTAATGTGTCACCGAGGAGTACTTATCTTCCTCACATATCTAGGCATAATTTGAGTATTTTACTTTTCTTTTCTTATATTTGTTCTACTACATTGTATAAAGCACAACAAGACTTTTTGACTTTGTACACAACTAAATAAAGAATTTAAAAAACCCAAAAAACTTTCAGATGTGCGCTTTGTGATTCTTTAAACCTATTTATTATTATTATTGCCATTTATATAGCGCCAACAGATTCCATGGCGCTTTACAATATTATGAAAGGGGATTTAACTATAAATAGGACAATTACAAATAAACTTACAGGAACAATAGGTTGAAGAGGACCCTGCTCAATTGAGCTTACATTCTATAGGATAAACACACATTTTATATGAGTGTAAAACTCCTGGTTCAATATGTCATTGTACATTCTATCTGGGTTTTTCAATGTCTTGGGTACAACATGAAATTAAATGGTATGCATGAACAAATGTTAAAACACAGGATATACCCATTGTACAGCGCTACGGAATCTGATGGCACTATATAAATAATAAAATAATAATAATAATCAAAACCTTGTGAAATGTAGCACTAGTTTTCCTCCCTCACAAAATAAGATAGCCTGAGGTCTCTGAGTGACAAGTGTGGTGTGCTATAGGATCTAATCACTGAGAACTTGTAAACAAGCATGTAACTTTAACACCAGGTCTGTAAGAAGGATTGCTACACACAATGTTGCAATCTATATCGGATTTCTTTCAGGCAGACCATAATAAGAGTGGCATCACAGGTTTCAGAGATGGCAAATCTGGGCACTGTTAGAAATTTGAGATTAAGTACACTCCCATGATGCTTAGGCATCCAGACATCTTTGGATCAGTAGTTCACTAACATCTGCAGGGACCATTGTGGCTCTTTTACTGTAATAGGCGGTCTGTGGTTACTAAAGGCACTCTGTGGGTGTCCAAATTGCTCAGCAGAATAAAGACGTTTAAGTCACTCCCATACAGTCCTAAAACTCCGCAGACAACAAACTTAACGTCACTAGATGAAGGACAGCAGGTGATGTATGGAGATTCCAGTTTATCACAGTCTTTTGTCATTTCTAGCAGAACCTTACAGCTATCACTACTATACAAGTGGGATGAGGTTTAGAGGTGAGTGTCTGACTTTTAACGTTTCTTAAAACGTAAATTTGAGTATATAGCCTCCCAGAGCAATGTTTTATGCCTTTATTTGTAAATACTCTCTGTTGAATTTTTAAGATCAATGTGCTAAAGTGACATTTTCACATCTGAAACGAAATCTAGAATTTTCAGTATTAGTAATTAATTTCTATAATGTAAGCAGTTTCACTATTACAGTGACTGATGTGTGGATTATGACATACATGGGACATTTTACATTTAAATGTCAATTTCAAAAGGTCTGTATTTTTCTTCTTTGATATAATCTTGTTGATGTTATTAATCAAACCTCATTTTGAAAGGGAATGCTTTCTAAACATGGGTTAAGACTGAAATTCTATGTTCAACTACATTAATTAAATTACAGTGAACACTACAAAAAAAGTTCACACTTTCATTATTCTTTTCATTCTTAATCATTATTGGATTTGTGTAAATGTAGGATTTCTAGGAAACTTCTCTATAAAGTTCTGTATGTCTGTGTTCCATGGACTAGTAACAACAATAATTATAATTTTAATACTGTTTATAATGCATAAATGTGACATGCTGAGGAGGATTAAGCCAAGGTGGTTTTCTGGGACAAAACACTCACAAGCTCCCTTCTGAATTATTAACCCCTTCTTTTCCCAGTAATGTGGTTAAAAAAGAGTCCTAGAATCCTATTTTTGTTGTTTTCTGAGCATGTTAATGTGTATAAACCGCACATTTTGTAATGACAAAACTATCTTTGTTGATCCCTGTTTATCAGACAATAAAAAATGCTACAGAATAAAGGGAAAAATGACCCAACTATAGTAATAATTATATTATTTGCTAGTTATTAAACTTGTGTAAATCGTGAATACACGTTTTTAGGTTATGAACATATGCCTCTGTCCTTGTATACATGTTATACATATATGAAGAGGTATATGTATATTTGCACATCAAAATTCACTGTATTATTCTTAACTATCCATGTTTGGCCCCTGGAAGCCCTTTCTGGACTGGCTGTTAGACCTAATAGTGTGAATCTTTCCTTTATCAAATCAAGTATGACTTTTGCCCAATTAATCATAAGTCCAGCAGAGATAACCAGAGGCGTTTAAGTAAGAACTTATTCTAAGTACCCTTTTCACTCTTTGTTTAGAAACTTATCACATCTTAAATAGCAGGATGATTAAAGGCTAATAATAATAATAATAATCGTATTGGATCTTACAGGGGATTGCCCACTGGATGTAATAGTTTCTGATGTAGGATTGGGTATCTAGTTATGGCACTTCATTTGATGTTGAACTGCATCCGTTATAACTATGCTATTGGCAGTTAATAAATGGTTACAATATATATGTAAAAATAATATATTATAAGTAAAATGTAAATAATGACTGTAGAACAATGCATAATTTTTTATTTTATTTATTTTTGTACGATGAGTGTTTTTAAAATATAAAAATCTGTCCCATGATCCCATGCTCTGGCCTCTCACGCTCTCCAAGGAGAATTCAGAAAGCTAGTAGAGAACACAGCTTTCCAGTTTTATTGCTGGGGTAGGGGGGTGTTGGTCAGACACAGTTGGGATACTATTGACTTTCTACAAATGAGGGGCTGGCAGGTTCAATTCACTTGCATGGGTGGTTTTCACACATTATTAACAAATGAATGCAAAGCCAGTCACAGATGTATTTCACATGCGGAAATGGTTCCTTTTTTATTTCTATGGGGAATTAGTGAATGCTTGTGTGTGTAATGTCATACATAGGTGATGATTAGTAATTCACCTTCAGAAAACTAGGGGATGAAGACTCAGGACTGACTGAAATATCTCAGTCACTTCCAGGTTACAGGCGTGTGTTTGTGTGTGTGTGTTTGTGTGTTTGTGTAGGGGGGTAGGACAGTCAGAGCCTTGAAAACTGACTTATTACATTGCACAGAATGTTCTAGCTTATTTATTTTCCATCTGTTTTATTTTAATTGTTCGTTAATATCTCTTTAGTTTGGAAAAATGGAGACTCAGTGGGGATATGATAACATTAGACAAATATATTCAGGGCCAGCACAAACTATTATCTGGAAATCTATTCATAAACAGGGCTATACATAGGACACGAGGTCACGCATTTAGGCTGGAAGAAAGGAGATTTCATCTAAGGCAAAGAAAAGGTTTTTTTTACAGTAAGAGCAATAAGGATCTGGAATTCTCTGCCTGAAGAAGTGGTTTTATCAGAGTCCATACAGATGTTTAAACAGCAATTGGATAAATACCAGGAGCTGACCTGTGATTATGGCTAGAATATGGTGATTATTGAAAGTGCAGTATAACAACATCTATGAGTATAAAATATAAATAATAATGTACATCGAAATCAGCTCCTGGTATTTGCACACTACTCCAGAGTGTTCTCTCTGCCACTTTTACTTATAGGTTTTAGTGAATCCCTATCCACTTCTAGTTTGAGCGGCCTAGTGTTAGTCAGACTCCCTCTCTTCTGTGTATTACACTAGGTAAACCAGAACTATTTATTCCTAGCAATTGGATAAATACTTGCAAAAACATAACATACAGGGATATAATTTCTAATTAGTGGGGTAATAGCTACTTGATCCAAGGAGACATCTGACTGCGATTTTGGGGTCAAGAAGGAATTTTTTCCTAGTTTGTTGCAAAATTGGAAGCGCTTCAGACTGGGATTTTTGCCTTCTTTTGGATCAACAGCAAAAACATATGTGAGGAAGGCTAAATTTGATGGAAGCAAGTCTCTTTTCAGCTATGTAACTGTGTAACTATGTAATTGTGTTAAGTTGCCAGTTGACTCTTTTTTAATGTAATTTATTTGTTCTTAGAACATTGGTTCTCCCAGGAGCCTGTGTCGATTCATCCTGGCTGAAAGTGTTAACAGCAATTTAGCAAAGCCAAATCCCACTTAGCCACAGAAATATTTTGAATGTATCGATAGCTAGGGAATGTGAAACTAGCGCATATGACTTTCCCAATCACTACAATACAGTGCAGGTAGTCTTCCCAATGACCCAAAGACTGGGGCAAAGTGCCCGTAGACGAGGTAACCAGATCCACCATGTTTACAGGGACACGTATAATTTTGTCATATTTATGAAAACGCATGAAAATAATTGCCCTGCATATTCTGCAGGATTCTCAGTTGCCTAATAGCTTAATCTTATACACCTTCTTCTGAATTCTACATAATACAGGGCAACCCTTTTCATGTGCTGCCAATCAATATGTATATGTTATATGTGTCCCAGAAAACATGGTGGATCTAATCACCCAGCCTCTGGGTCCATGCTTATATGTGATTATGTTACATTGTGGCAACTGACATTTAATGTGGATAAGTGCAAGATAATGCATCTTGGACGTAAAAACCCAAGGGCAGAGTACAGAATATTTGATAGAGTCCTAACCTCAACATATGAGGAAAGGGATTTAGGGGTGATTATTTCTGATGACTTAAAGGTAGGCAGACAATGTAATAGAGCAGCAGGAAATGCTAGCAGAATGCTTGGTTGTATAGGGAGAGGTATTAGCAGTAGAAAGAGGGAAGTGCTCATGCCATTGTACAGAACACTGGTGAGACCTCACTTGGAGTATTGTACACAGTACTGGAGACCGTATCTTCAGAAGGATATTGATACCTTAGAGGGTTCAGAGAAGGGCTACTAAACTGGTTCATGGATTGCGGGATAAAACTTACCAGGAAAGGTTAAAGGATCTTAACATGTATAGCTTGGAGGAAAGACGAGACAGGGGGATATGATAGAAACATTTAAATATATAAAGGGAATCAACACAGTAAAGGAGGAGACTATATTTAAAAGAAGAAAAACTACCACAACAAGAGGACATAGTCTTAAATTAGAGGGACAAAGGTTTAAAAATAATATCAGGAAGTATTACTTTACTGAGAGGGTAGTGGATGCATGGAATAGCCTTCCAGCTGAAGTGGTAGAGGTTAACACAGTAAAGGAGTTTAAGCATGCGTGGGATAGGCATAAGGCTATCCTAACTATAAGATAAGGCTAGGGACTAATGAAAGTATTTAGAAAATTGGGCAGACTAGATGGGCCGAATGGTTCTTATCTGCCGTCACATTCTATGTTTCTATGTTACTTCAGTCGAATTAGCAGCACTCTGCATTTACGTAGCATGGTAGCATGGTTGGCTAAATAGTCAGTAAGGAAGCACACCTTTCCTCCTATTAACAAAAGAAACAATAAACATTAACAGAAGTGCAATTGCACTAATATCTTTATAAATCATTATATATGAATATAAGACAGCAAAAGGCTAAATGAGCCAAGATAAGTAACAATACAGTTCAACACAGTTCAGATAGGAGTAATATATTTTAGGATTTGATACATCAAATCTTTACTCTTCTGTTGTCAGTTAAAGGGACACTATAGGCACCCAGACCACATCATCTCAATGAACTGGACTGGGTGCCATGCCCTTTACATGTTAAACCTGCAACTGAAAACCAAGGTGAAATGTTTACATTCCGTGTTAAAATTCCTCTAGTGGCTGTCACACTGACTGTCAAGCCACAGACTGCAGAATGAAGGAGATGGACAGCTCAGTCGGGAAACCCCGAGGAATGGGGACCTTCTCGCACCATAACAGCTTCATTCCAGTTAAGTTGTTATGGTGCCCAGAGTGTCCCATTAAAGAAAAAGTACAACTGTGATTTTTTCTTTTTATTATACACGAGGTGGTCTTTAGAAGCACTTAATATTTTTTTGGTTTGTTATTGTCTGTTGGTTTTTCTCTTTTTTAATATTGATTATCTAGGTAACTTTTGACCTTGAACCTGCAACCCATAGAAACAGCAGTGTCAAGTAGTAATACAATTCATCTTAAGAGATAATTTTGTCTCTCAATGAAAACAGAAAACCGTCTCACTTTGTGCTCATCTATCTGGTTATATACATTGGTCCAAAATTTCATTATCTCTTAACGTCTGTGGTATTCTGTTATATAGAAATGATATAATATCTCTATCAAGCTGATTTAGCTTCCTTCTTCCGCTCACTAATGTTCATGTTCTCAAAACAAAAATAATTAAACAAAAACTATCTCCTGTTAACCAGAGGGGTTATTAACTCTATTTACCTGGGTGTGTTGGGTCCAGGGCCGGCCTTAGGTGTTCAGGCGCCCTGTGCGAAACAATCTTGTGGCGCCCCCCTCACCTGTCTCTGTTTGGACCCCTTCAAACTATTTTAGGAGCATTCACAATCTGTTGCCTCCACCCCCTTCTACAAAACCACTGCACCTCTTAACCAAAATCCCTGGCCAGATCTTCACCAAGCCCCTGGCCACCACTTCATCAAACTCCTGGCCACCCCTTCCCCTTCATCAATGCCCTGGCCATCCCTTCATCAAACTCCTAGCCACCCCTTACCCTTCATCAATCCCCTCCCACCCCTTTATCAATTCCTGCCACCCCTTCATCAGTCCCCTGCCCCTCTCATCAATTCCCTCCCACCCTTTACTCAGCCCTCTGCCCCTATTCATCAGCCGCCTGACCCCCTAATCAATCCCCTCCCACCCCTTTAACAGCCCTCTGCCCCATTCATCAGTCCCCTGACCCCCTCACCAATCCCCTCCCCCTTTTATCAGCCCCCTGACCCCCTCATCAGTACCCTTCCACCCCTATCACCCACCTGCCCCCCTTTAATCAGTCCCATGCCCCCCTTTTCAACCCCCTGCTCCCCTTCATCAGCCCCCTTAATACATCCCATGCCAAATAATCCAACCCCTGGCCACCCCTTCATCAGTCCCCTGCCCCCTCATCAATTCCCTCCCACCTATTTATCAGCCATCTGCCCCCATTTCATCAGCCCCCTGATCTCCTCATCAATCCCCTCCCACTCCTTTATCAACCACCTGCCCCCTTTAATCAGCCCCATGCCCCCCTTTTCAGTTTCCTGCCACCCTTTATCAGCCCCCTTAATAAATCCCCTGCCAATTAATGCAATCCATGCCACCCCTTCATCAATCCCCTGCCCCCCTTAATTAAATTCCTGCACCTCTTCAACAAAACCTATTTAATAAAAAAGAAAAAAAAAGTCACTCACAGTAAAGGCTGCTGCTCCCTGGACTGAGCTGTCTCCGCCGATTGAAGAGCACCGGGTGCCGCCTTCACTCACTGAATTGGATCCTTCCGCGGCTCCCTCTGATGACAGAGCACGTCGACGTTACGCAAGTACGCGGCATAACGCCCCCACGCTCCTCCTCCACCCTCCATACAGAAGTGGATTCCCGGCGGCGGCTCTCTGCTCATAATTTGCAAGTCAAGTGCAAAGCAGTATTATGCACTTGACTTGCACTTTAAATACAGAACTCGGCTGGCCTGCGAGCTGTGTTGGCCGCCCGGCGCCCCTGTTGCCATGGCGCCCTGTGCGGCCGCACAGCTCGCACACCCCTAAGGCCGGCCCTGGTTGGGTCTAATTGTTTTTTTATTTTATTTCATTTTTTCTTCCTTATGACCTTTGTATTTTAATGGTTATATTCCCTGCCCCACTGCGACAAGTTTTAATTTGACTATAAATGATTATTTTCTATTTTGTTCTCCTCTGTCCATGATGTTCGTAATTTGCCTTTCTATGGTGATAAATTGTGGGTAAATTACCATGGCGACTGAAGCAAAACCTTGTTCAAACTGCACCCTTTACCAAAGATTCCACTCCCTATATGAAACATTAAGTAAATTTTAAAAAAAGCAAGGGAAATAGGAGAAAGGGATTACTTTAAAACCAATAAAATTAAGACAACAGGATGCCCAATTATCTGTAACCGAGACCTAAGAGCAAATGTATTTTCAATGGGATAATTCACATGCAAATTTAGGAGGTGGGCAAATAAAATATGGAAGTATTTTATTTTTGTTTCAGTTTTATTGTATTCGTTTATTTTTTTATTTGTCAACTGAAAGGCAAACGGCTATGGAGGTAGACAGATGATTAAAGAGGCGGTTCAGTCTTAATTAGGTGGCTATTCTTTAAAATGTTATGTACATAATCCCATGTGCAAAATGATTGAAAAAAACTACATGAGAATGCAAAGTTTGCATCAGATGTTAACCAACTGGTGGTCCTTTATATAATATATAAAAGTCATAAGATCAGACCCTCAGAGCATTCATGATGTACATGTGATGTGTTACACTATGGAAAGCATTTAGGCATGCATAGTAAGAATTTGAATAGTTTGAAAAGTTGGGGCTAACATTTGTAGGATTTTTTACAGAATTAAAAAAATAAAATCAAGACATATTACAGCATGCATTTGACGTAAGGGTGTTATCTTTAATGTGCATGTTAATTGTCCATGTATTTGGAGTGTCCCTTTAATAATTCTGTATGTGGCCAGGGAATTTGGGAAAGGGGTCTTAAGACAGAGTACTGTTGTGTAGTCGCCCTGTGTCTAGTGGCTGCAAGAAGTCCTGAGATTCACCAATATAGTATATTGTATATGTACAGTATATATTAAGCTGTAGGTGCGTGCATTACGTTATAAGTATATCTTATACTGTTGGTGTGTAATTTACATTACAAGTGTGATGTGAAAATACATAACGCTATAAAATACAGACATAGTAGCAAGCAAATTATTTTTTTACGTTTGCTTTGAATTCTCTTGGCACAATACATAGATTATATGTCTTGCTCAGCATTTGTACTGTACATTCTGTTTAGATGTCTGTGACTGTTAGCACTTGGCAAACAAAATCCAATAGTCCAATTAAATCTGTCTCTGTGAAAGCATTCATTCTTCGTGATAACCTTTCACTGACAGGAAGCATATTCAAATTCTGCATCAACCCAGATGTTCTACATATTGTTTCTCAGGATGTCAACATATGGTGTATCACTTTCATCCCAAAAAAATGAAACTACTTTAGACAAATTGCACAAGTTTAATCATCATGTTTTTTTGGTGCTTCAGAAGTTAGAATAGTTTAAATTGGTGTCTGCACAGAGCTGAAACAATCTTTGTGTGATATTTGCTAACTTCTGGCTAGTAACACAGTAAAACAAACTCCATTTGATGAATGACTTCTCACAGACTTGTAAACTCTGCATCTGTTGCAACTGGTTTTTGAAGAGAGCATTTTCCCATAATTGGACATAAAACAGTGCATTTTTTCCCATCTAATTTCATATTGTGAAAATATTTTTCACCAGTGTAAGACTATATACTGTCCCAAAGGAAAAGCAAGATGCAGGAATCATTGCTAAAATATTTTATGTAGGTTGTAGACAACCTTTTGGATCCATTCACTTTCACAAGGTTAGCAAATTAGGTACTTATCTATTAATTATTTAAAACAGGAAAATGTATAATTTTTTTACATTTTATTAATTTTGCTCAGCTGTTTAGCAGATTGCTCTCTAATTTGCTATGTTAATGTGGGACTGTTGTAATTAAGAGCAATCCCAAAATACAATGCCAAACTAGGGAGCTATGTACTAAAGAGCTGAAAGGGGCAAAATTAAGTAATTTCCTTAAATTTCCTCTCTCAGCTGCTTAGGAGATAAGTCCCGAATTAGATACCATTAATTATGGCAATCCCACACAAGAATGCCAAATTCGGAAGCTATTTACTAAACAGCTAAAAGGTCAAAATTAGGGGGGGGAAAGCTGTTTAGTAGATAGCTCCGTAATTTAGCATCCTTGTATGAGATTACTACTTTTAAGGATACTATTTTAGGAAGCTATCTGCTAAACAGCTCCCCAATTTAGTATCCTTTATAATAGTTTTTCAGGACATACTTGAAAATGAGAGAAATCTCAATGTATCCTTCCTGGTAAAATATTTTATAAATAAATAAAAATATAAATAATGGTGTCCCAATTTTGTTTCTAAATCTTCTGAATTTCGAACGAACCAAAATTGGAAAATTAACAAATTGAAACGGAATGAACCAAAACAATTGTGTCAGCCATGCACATCTCTTATAGATAGACATAGGATATCTGTACCCAAAGGGCAGTGTACACATTTGCTCAGATACTCACCAATTCTGGGAGGCCACTGCAGATCCCAGCTTTAACTGGTATTTCTGAGGACTACTCCAACCAAAACACAGTAATTTATTAAAACACAGTAATTTAACAAAGTTACCCTTCTTTTCCTGGTTCCCCACAAAAGAAAACGTAAAAAACAAAGCAAAACTAAATCTAAAACTTACCTCCATTACTGGATCAAGGCCAAGTTCTTCTCCTTAACTGATACTCCTCCGCTGATCTCACTCCCACTCACTGGAGGATCGAGGGATCTAATGGAAGGACATGGGTGGCATGGAGGACTGACGTCATTGCATGCCTGTCACCAGCATGATGTGCTTGTTGACATGAGATGTCTAATAAGCACAAAATTAGCATTAATCACCCAGAACTCTTGTTCCGGACTGACTAATGATGCCCCAATGACTCTGCCAAAGGTGGCATTACACCTGCGGCAGAAAAGGGATTCAACTCTGTAGGTGTAGCTTTCAAAGCGACATGCTGCACATACTGACTCCAGTTACCAACACCACTTTAAAACATTGAAGGGGTGATGGTCCTTTAAATTTCATATCAATGGATGGGAACGTGGCATTTAGCTAACATCAACCCAACTATATCCACAATTAGAGCAAATGTGCTTATATTCCTGCAGACACCACCCCTTTGTGGGTAGACTATTATATTTTTACCAAGCACAGCACAGCCTTATATCGAAGTTGAACTAGAGGGGAGACAATGGCTCTGCATGGGGCCCAAAGATATCTTGACGAGTGACAGAATAGATTAAGATTCTGAAGTGGAGAGACAGGAGATAACATGGATCTAAATAACTTGTTGCTGTGAAAAATAGCGTTATCATTTTGTAATTGTCATTGATCTTCTGTAAAATATTTAGAGTCGTGGCAGTTATATTATAGATAATAAACTGTCAAATTGCAGTAGATAACATAACAGTCCTTAAAATATTTTTTATCAAAATTTATCACGATAGAATCCTATACTAGCTTATTTGTTTATCTGTTTTGTTACACTGTGGCGCCTTTCCTTGCAGAGTCCTGGGTTTTTACCGTATTAGAAAGTTTGATAATACATTTTTTTTATATATAACAAAAAGGAAAAGGTTAGCCTGAAATTCATTCAATTAGTGTATTGTGATGTGATTTGACAACTGACATGCAATAATCTCGAATTCAAAGTAGATTCAGTATTAAGGGAGATGTGTAAGTGACTTTGTTTAGTCTTAGCAGCCACAAGTTTCATTGTATTAGTCAGCATCACATGGTCCCGAAACCGAGGAGTCCTAAACAGCAACAATGTAGCTTGTCGACTATATTTTGGCCTGTAATTCAGACTTAATGAACTGAAAAAGGCTTCTCATCAATGCTTGTGTGGAGGAGTAGACTCCCAGATATGTCCCTTTTAGAGTCATATTATTGCTTCATACAATCTAAAACAAAACATACAAATAAACACAAGAATCTATATAGAAGATAAACTCCAAAAATGAAGGATTATTATTATTATTATCATTAAAGGGACACTATAGTCACCTGAACAACTTTAGCTTAATGAAGCAGTTTTGGTGTATAGAACATGCCCCTGCAGCCTCACTGCTCAATCCTCTGCCATTTAGGAGTTAAATCCCTTTGTTTATGAACCCTGGCCACACCTACTTGCATGTGACCTGCACAGCCTTCCATAAACACTTCCTATGGAAGGCTGTCTTTATTGCAAGATCTGTTTAATTAAGATTTTCTTATCCCCTGCTATGTTAATAGATTGCTAGACCCTGCAAGAGCCTCCTGTATGTGATTAAAGTTTAATTTAGAGATTGAGATACAATTATTTAAGGTAAATCACATCTGTTTGGAAAGTGAAACCAGTTTTTCTTTCATGCAGGCTCTGTCAATCATAGCCAGGGGAGGTGTGGCTAGGGATGCATAAACAGAAACAAAGTGATTTAACACCTAAATGACAGTGAATTGAGCAGTGAAATTGCAGGGGAATGATCTATACACTAAAACTGCTTTATTTAGCAAAAGTAATATAGGTGACTATAGTGTTCCTTTAATAGTGCTGTACAATGACAAAATTGGTCAAAATCAACATCAAAGCCAGAAGCTAAAGTTATCGTCATATATATACGATGCAATATATTTCAGTCCTCATTCTTTATCACTTTAGCTAGAAGGAAGAGGCAGAGAAGGAGAGTGAAGAATAAGAGCACAGAATAAAGGGAAAAACATCAACACCAAACAATACAAACATTTTATATCTTTTTTTGTTTGTTTGTTTTTTTACATTAGTCTATAAGTAAAACCCGATTTAATTACTAGAACAATATAAACATAAAACCAAATGACCTGCCCAACAGACGATATTTTATTTGTTTAGTAATTTTCTTGCATTACGGCACTAGCAAGGCATAATGCTGCTCTACTATTTTCTTGCCCAAATTCTGGACATACATACGATTTTATTGAAGCAGGTTCTGTTATCCTAAAAACCTGATTCCAGGTGCACAAGAAAAGTAATAATTGACTGTAAAGTCACAGTGGTATTCCCAACCACAACAACAATATTGAGAGATATATTCATACTCATACTCAAAATATGCCAGATTTGTCGTCATTTTAATATTTATTTATTTATTGCTGCCGGCATTTGGGCTCTTTATATTTAATTTGCTGCCATGAGATTTTTTTGGGTGTATTGATTTTTAAATGATCAATTATGGGAAAAAACTGATTTCCACTGTGGACAATTCAGGTTATTTATATATATATTTATTCTGAATTATACACACACATGTATATGCATTATATCTATGAATATGCAACATGGTTTAAAAGAAAGCAGCAATCACATTTGTATGTAAGAGAAAATTGCATGATCAATTATTGATTAATTCAAGTAAAGATTCCTGCTAGATTGTTTTTTTTTCCATGCCAGTTCACATAATAAAACATAAAATGCCAGTTCACATAATAAAAAGTAAAGTAAAACGAAGTTCCAAATTTTTGCTATTTTTCCCCCCTAAACCATTACAATGGCCAGAGATATATTTTGTGTTTACCCAATTTGTTTTATCTGTACACAAGATTCTTGCATAATCTAACACTGTGTATTTAATCTTTGTGTTTCTCGTGGTTACCTTGTCTCGATTCAGGTAGTTGACGTTTGAGGAAATCGGTATTCATCAATTTGCCCAAAACACTGTACATTGTTAGATTCTTATTAACTTGGGAGTGGATGTATCTACATATTTCTATCAAATACTGTCGCCTTCAAGGTCAGATCAATGATGTATTACACCTGTTAGGTTTCTGTTTGTTCTAAATTAACCCAAAATGTCATCCAAGAATTCATCCAATTATTTCATCTTTAATAAAAAATAGTGTTGCTGTTTTTTGTTTTTTTGCAGAACACTATTTGCTTTAACATTCTTAATATGGTAAATTTGCTGTTCAGTATGATAATATTATAATAAAACTGTGTTCTTGTAAATAGAGCATCAATAAATTAGCAAAAAATATATGAAAATATAGAAGAGATAATAAAAAGAGCACCAAAAAGAAAATCTCCAGGCACTCAGGGTTTTCAAGCCGCAGGCAGATTTAATGGTACAAAAAAAGTACAGCTGGGTTTCGACCTGCCAAGAGGTCAAGCTCTTGGCAGGTCGAAACGTAGCTGGTTTTTTTTGTACCATTAAATCTGCCTGCGGCTGGAACACCCCGAGTGCCTGGAGATTTTTTTTGTTGCCTTATTTTTGTAGGATTATGGTCCTGTTCCAGTGCACCTGGTGCTCACTGGGATTGAATTTGGCTCCTATCGGCATCTTTGGAACATAATAAAAAGAGCATGCATGTTTAGGTGGTCTTAGTGTTAGGAAGGGTTTAAGGATGGGTGTTTAAGATTAAGTGGATTTCGGGTCCAAAACGTCATGATCCTAAACACCCCGAGACATAACTATATAACCCTAATTCTCAATAATGCTATCCTAAACCACCTAACAATAAAAACCTACCCAACCCTAAACCCTCTAAACTTACCTTAGTGCAGATTTTTCAATGCAAATTTATTATTGCAATTGACTTTTTAAAGATGTTGGAGATTCTGAACAGAGTATCTCTATAATGTCACACTATTTACTGGGGATAATTAAAATATAACTTTTATTAATGTTGCTTTAAGTACATACAGTGGGGCATAACTAACAAAGATTTCTCACTTTTTTCCAACAGCGAGATAATGGATTCTCTCACAATTTTGCCATCTTTAATGACCATGGAGCTATTGACATTGGAACCCAATGTATCCACGGCACCTCCTGCAAATAACTGTCATATCCATGATGGGGTCCTTTCTGCGATGCTTCCAGTTATGTACTCTATTGTATGTGGCATCAGCTTGCTAAGCAACACATTAGCCCTCTTTGTGTTTTGGGCAAATTGTCAAAAATGCTCTTCTATGATTATATATATGAGGAACCTGGCAGTTGCTGACCTCCTACTATCACTGTGCTTACCATTCCGAGTGGCTTACCAAAACAATGATGGTCCTCTAATTCTCTGCAAAATCGTAGGTGCATTTTTTTACTTGAACATGTACGCTAGCATCATGTTCTTAAGTCTTATTAGCCTGGATCGCTACCTTAAAATAATTAGGCCTTTGCAACAGTTCAAAATTCATAGTGTTTCGTGGAGCACTCGAGCGACCCAAATTGTCTGGTTAATCAATGTGGTCTGTATCATCCCATTCCTCATTGAACAGAAAGGAAGTGAACCTTGCAATCAGAAGTGCTTTCACTTCAATAAAAAGGGATACGTTGGAGCTGTAATCAACATTACTGCAGTTATTGTGTTCTTCGTTCTTCTCTTGCTTTTTGTTTATTTCTACGGAAAAATATCTGCCAAACTCCGCCAGGCCTCAATGGGAAAAACTCAACCGCAAACAAAAAGAAATAGGAACAGGGCAATTAACAAATCTTTTGTTGTCCTCATTATCTTCATAGTGTGTTTTGTTCCTTATCACATTGTACGTGTACCTTACGTCCTAGCCCAGATAGAAGTCATCTCCAGTTTGTCCTGGAAACAGACTCTTCATATCACCAATGAGATAGTGCTCTGCTTGTCCACCTTCAACAGCTGCCTGGACCCGGTGATTTATTTCTTCTTGTCCGACAGCTTTAGAAAAGCAGTTAATTGCACCTTGCACTGGAAGCTCAAACTCATTGCAAACAATCATGAACAAAACCATTCCAATACGTTTAACCTTCCACTCCCTTCAAGGCCCGAAACTCAAGATGACTGATTTATTGAATCCGACCTTTAAACATCTGAAATTTAAGGTGACTGAATTACTGTGACTAAAGTCTTAACTGTGTCTCAGCGTTATCGGAGCAGCAGAAATGTAGATGCTTGTATTGTGACGTCTGAGCTTTAAAATCAATTGCATTAACCAACAGGAGAAAATTGCTTATAATGCCATAACCCTGCCCTGTGGAGCATAGTGTTGCGAATCTATAATATCGCTTACAAGATTTTCATGTCAAGTGTATAGGTCAGGCAAAGTACAGTCTACTGGCTAGTGGTAAAAATGCAAAGTTCCTGTTTCTTAGGAATCAAAATCCTAGTCTAGGAGATACCCAACATTTGCCACAGATGAATTACATAAGTTTCTAGACTTTTACAAGTTTTTGTGTTATATCAAAACATGCCAAATAGAATGGTAGTTTCCTAACCTAATGATATATAAACAGGAGAAGCTGACCTGAAAAGTGTTTCTCAGCAAATTTATATATGTGCCCCATGGGTACTTTGACAAGAATAGTCAGTACTTAAATGTTAATGTACTAAGAAAAAAAAGTGTTATGAATAGTAACAGCCTTTAAAATGATTTGGTAGTGGCCATTAGGATGCAAACACAACTGTAGAAAAAGAAAATAATTAATATTTATATAATGTTTATATAATGTTTTTAGTTTCCAGGTAATTAACTGTAGAAAAGCCTTATTAGCACGTAAGTGCTAAATTTGCTAAGAGGTTCAAGAAACCATAGAAAACAAACAGCTTTAATGAATACTGCATTATTTTAAAATACAAATCTGATCACTTGTCAGCATATGGGTTCTAGGATTGGATTTTATCAGATTTGCTCCTTTGGCAATTGACTAAGGCTTTCATGGTTAACCGTACACTCCAGATGTTTAAGATTATTATATTTCCCATTGTGTCCAGTTAAACACACTCTACAGATACAGCAGTTTTACCAAAATCAAACAATGGCGCTTGCACTCTTTCAGTCCTTAAGTGCCTGAGCCATAACACTTGGCCTCTTGCACGTCCTGAACTTGTGGGTATGTGTGACATGAACTGCAATGTTAGCTGCTTGCCATTCAACATAACTTCATGTAATTTCCAATGAACTTGAAAAAACAATTGAAAGGAGTGAATCAATTATGCAAATGAATAGAATCAGCTCACATCCAAACTATACTTGCGAAAGCACCACCCATTGATTTGTTCTTGTAGCAGTGGAAGACGGTGGAGACAGAATTGGTCCCCGTCTGGGCCTGGAGCTCTGGCTCTGGATATAAGGAGGCCTTCCCTATTTACCTATGATCTCTCTGTTTGACCCTATGCCCCCACATCTGCTCGATGGAATGTTGTGGTCTGCACCTCTATCACGTACAAATCACTTTAATAGCTCCCTTGTAGTGCTCCAAAGCATAACCAACACTCGGAGTCATTCCTGAGTGCCAAGATCGCAAGGGAGCTGCTAAATAGATCTACACTTGATATTGGTGCAGGGCACAATGCTACCCCAGTGGAACACCAAAATCAGGCTACCCAGCTCACCTCCTCTGGACCACTAGGTATCCAGCCCAAAGAGCCTTTCACTGGACCACTAGGGATAACATCCTGTCCTGCTTAAAGGTAACCAGCAGTGGAGCAAAAGAACAACTCACACAAACAAAATTTAGCCTCCACACACAAACACAACACTCAACTGGCACATAATGGCAAACTTAGCCTCTCTTCCACACATACAAAATACTCAAGTCTACCGCTCACAAATACAACACTCATCTGCCACACACAATACTCCCAGAACAGACACAGGGCTCCAGGAGGGGGGTCTAATTTGTCATCCTGCCTCTTTTCCTGTGCAATCTCAATCTGGCTTTCTGGGTACGCATTACGGACTTACTTATGTGATGTTCAAATGTCTTTACCAATAACAATTTGCTGTATTATGAAAACAGACATAATTAAGATTTAATTACAGTGGCAGGAATCATCCTGCAGAGAATTATCAAGCATTTTATGTTCAGCTTTCTCATTCTAGCACATGAAATATAACTTAATGTACCCACACTGTGACACTTTATGTGGAACACGGAAATCAGGATTTTTATCTGACTCCACATGAGTCTCTGTATTTATAAGTAAGGGCTGTTTTAAAGTCCTGTGAACATGGTAATTTATATTGTGTTTACATTTTGTGTTCAAATTGATTTTTGTTATCTTTTATCAGACAAAAAAAATGAATTCTTTGATTAAAAAAATTCTGTTTGATTGGTGCTTGATGTTTGTTTTATTTTCTGTTACCTACGCTGGCCTATGTATCTCATATCCTATTTGTATTCCATGGAGACAGTTTGTGAAGCCACCAGTCAGTCTTTTTAAACAAAATAAAAAAAAGCCCAAATAGTTACAAAATGTTTAAACAGAAATTAATGATGCAGGACTTTTAGCTACAAAACAGTTACACTGACTGTGTCATGTATAGTAAATTGTGCATCTTCAAAATGCTGTATAAGAATTGAGCAAGTCAAAGGCAATAATGATCTTACTTAAAAAAAATAAAAAATCATGAAGCGCAAGTGAGTATGGATGAGAAGAGTGGGAAGAAAAAAATAACAAAAATAAAACCCAGCGACTGGAGGATATCCCCAGTTGTCCCTGAGGAATCTTCTGCAAATCACCAGGGAGCAAGTGGTCTGCACATCCCACAGTGCAGAATTGCTATAATTCTCCTATAAAGAAATAACAAAAGTTAATAATGTAGAAAAATATATCACAATTAAGTTAATAACTATATCACTATCAATGTGATTGCCAGTGCAATTTTCTCTTCAATTAATCCTGCTTGTGCAGCATAGCATACCATAATGGATTTAATATGCATACTTTTAAATGGGTCCCTTCCTCAATTGCTCGATGGGGATATTATAAATAATTTAGAAACTTTAAAGTAGGTCATTGAGGCTTGTGTGCAAGAAAACAGCTTGCTAATGGTATTCACATGCCTATTGCTCAATTCAGTTCTGATTGCTGCCAAAGTGTGTTTAATTTTATTTTTTCAGGTCTCACAACCACATGTTTGCAAAATACAGGGAATACATAAACATACTATTAAAACTCACGGGAAGTGACAATTCTTTAATATTCAAATATTTGTCTATATGGACTTTATCAACTCTGAGCCAAACACAACTAGAGGAGATTCTGCTCAGTTGCAGTTAATGCAACCATTATGTTTTCATTTTTACATCTTCTTTTTCAATATGTGTATAAACCACTTGGCCAAGAAAGTTCTGACACCACATATCTGAATAAAGATATATTTGTGTAAAAATATATTTGAAAATGTTTGGGCTGAGTACACACGCAACACCCCAAGCAAGTCACTTGTGACTAAGCAAAAGTTAGTAATTCTAAGTGAATCCCTTAAGGGCAGTCGTGAAGACAATAACATTTGCTTAACCCAGGTCTAGAAGGGGTTAAAATATGTATTGATGGGTTAAGTATAGCACAATATACAAATATAATGTATTTAAATTTGGAGTCTGCATTTACTTTCAAAACAACCCTGTAAATAAACAAAATCCAAAGTGGTATTGTAGTATTTCACTGCTTAATATAATCAAAATGCAGAAAATGTTCTATTTGGAAACAACTCACATGTTTCAGAGCCTTGTATTGGCTCTGCCTATGACAGTCAAGTACCAAAGGATTCAACAGCAGCTCTTAATCATAAAGGAGAAATATATGTTCAGGTTTTTATTAGCACATAAAATATCTTAAATTAAGGTATATAATACTGTATGACATTGGTCTGTCTCAGCAAAAATGGGACAGTTGGCAACTACACTTATTAGCCATTTAGGAATTAAATCATTTTTGTGTGGTTAATGGTTAATGAAAATAAAGGTGTATTTATCCCATATTAGTTCATCGAATACATTAAAGGATCACTATAGGGTCAGGAACACAAACATGTATTCCTGACCCTATAGTGTTAAAACCACCATTTAGCCCCCCTGGGCCCCTCATGCCTCCATAAATATAGCAAAATCTTACTGTATTCAAGCCAGAAGCTGTAACTTTGCATGCTGTTTGTCTAAAAAAAAACAAGTAGTCTGCTGACATCATCAGAAGTGGTGGCCTGATCCAATCACAGTGCTTCCCCATGGGATTGGCTGAGACTGACAAAGAGGCAGATCACGGGCAGAGCCAGCATGATTCAAACACAGCCCTGGCCAATCAGCATCTCATCATAGAGATGAATTGAATCAATTAATCTCTATGAGGAAAGTTCAGTGTCTGCATGCAGAGGGAGAAGACACTGAATGTTTGGATGCATTTTAGGCAGCCATGACCCAGGAAGGAACTCTAACAGCCATCTGAGGAGTGGCCAGTGAAGTTATCACTATGCTGTAATGTAAACACTGCATTTTTCCTGAAAAGACAGTGTTTACAGCAAAAAGCCTGAAGGTAATGATTCTACTCACCAGAACAAATTCAATAAGCTGTAGTGTCCCTTTAAAAATGGGGAGAGGGGTTAATCTTGCATTCAAATTAACAGTATGGTGGTCAGCTAGATTTCTGAGCAGCACTGTATCAATCTTACCAGAATAGAAACCATGGGCAAACGGTGTGGTCATTTCTGGAAAATAGCTCTGTGGTGTAGGTTTAGTCAGCCTTGAGTAGTGCGCATTGAACTTCTGCTATGTAGCCCACACAAAAGGAAGACAATGAGTTCCAGGAAATTGATAAGATGCATTATGAAATATAGCTTTATAAAGATAATTAATTAGAAAATGAAAATAAAACTTTTTTTGTTTCCGTCACATTATTCATTAACATTCTGTAATTCTTTTCTGTAAGTGGTTTTATAACAAGCAAACCAACATTTACTTTTCACAGCTTATCTAAGGTCATTGTCAAACCTTGGTCATATGAAATCGAACTCAACGAGTGCCCTGGCTGCTGTTCACCTGAACTTTAATGCATGTATAACAAATCTTATCCGCTCTACATACTTACAGCAGGCGGAAGGGACACTCTAAGCCTCAATACAACTGCAGTGTCATTGCTCAATTTTCTGCCCTTTAGGAGTTAAACCACATTTGTTTATGTTTATGCAGCCCCAGCCACACCTCCCCTGACTGTGACTGACTCAGTCTTCATGGAAAATGGCTTAATTGATCAGATCTTACAGCACAGTGTGTTTACTGTAGCATTTTTATCTCTGCTCTGTTATTTGAATTTTAATGACAAACAGGAAGCAACTGCCTGCGATTAACAGAGTAAAAACATAAATTCTAAATTAAACACACTATGCACTGTATTACAGCTCATTGATACACTTTGGAAAACCGCAATAGTTTGCACACTCACGGCTCCAGCACGGAGGCTTCTTCCTGACAGCAACCAGAGGCATTTTTGCCTCCATAACCAAGTCAAACTCGACACTCAGGTCAAATGGCACGCATCTTTAGAGGCAGAGAAGGCAACTGCAGCAGAGGAGTCTCTGTGCTGGAAATGAGATGAGTAATCTTTCAATTTATATTTTTATCAGCAAATGGGATGGGAATTTTTTTGGGGGGACAATAAGTTCCCTTTAATCATTTTCTCAAAAGGTCCAGACTTCACTCTTTGAGCAGGGGAAAAATAAATGTAACTATTTAATTTTCCTAAAACCAGCAGTCTATAATTTAAAAAAAAAAATTGGCTGCATTAAAAAAGTTAAAAAAAACTGAAACATTTTCATCATGACTTTTCTTAGGGTAATATTCAAAATGTCTGTTTATAAACAATTTTTAGGAAATAAACTGATGTACATCATGTTCAGACATGTTATGAGCATGCAGTCATTGTAGACAATTTTAATTACACAACTATTAGATATCTGTGACCTTGTTTAACCTAATGAATGTTTGCTATCTATTTCATTTCTTGCCAGACATCTACTGTATACACATAACACAATGTTGCAGATTAAACAGAGAGAATTGTTCAATGCTTTGTTTTCATAAATACACTCCAAATATAAAAGTTGATTTAAAGGGACACTATAGTCACCTAAACAACTTTAGCTTAATGAAGCAGTTTTAGTGTATAGATCAGTGATGGCGAACCTATGGCATGCGTGCCACAGGTGGCGCGTCGGGCCCTCTCTGTGGGCACACGGCTATAGGTTTGCCATCGATGCAGAGTAGGCACCTGCCTGCCCAAAACGGCAGGCGCCTACTCTGCTTTCTTGTCGCCAGGACCAGAAGCAGGGGGGAGGCATCTAGGAAGCAGCTCTCCTGTCCTCCCGCGAGCTGTGTGGAGCGTTGTCGTGCATTACCAACTAACCACCAGGGCCGCCATCAGAAATTTTGGGGCCCCTGACAAAGCACAAGGTCTGGGCCCACCTCCTCTTCCCTCCTCCGCCCACGCCCTACCTAGTCCGCTGACAATGATGCAGGACTGAATGTGGTGTGCATAGTGGAAGTGAATTAGAATGTGTGTAATGGATGTAGTGTTTGTGTGTATTAGATACTGTTTGTGCAGTGAATGCAGAGTGTGTGTTTGTGTAGCAGATGCAGTGTGTATAGTGAATGCAGAGTGTGTTTGTGTAGTGGATGTAGTGTTTGTGTGTACTAGATGAAATGTGTTTAGTGGATGCAGTGTCTGTAGTGTATGTAGTGTGTGTAATAGACGCAGTGTCTGTGTATAATGAATGCAGAGTGTTTCAATTTGTGGTGGATGTAGTGTGTGTACTGTGAATACAGGATGTTTGTGTAGTGGATGCTGTGTGTACAGTTAATGCAGAATGTGTGTTAATGTGTAGTGAATGCAGAGTGTGTGTCAGTGTAGTGCATGCAGAGTGTGTGTCAGTGTAGTGAATGCAGAGTGTGTAGTTAATGCAGAGTGTTTGTTAGTGTAGTGAATGCAGAGTGTGTGTTGTGCTAGTGTATGCAGAGTGTGTGTCAGGGTAGTGTATGCAGAGTGTGTGTTGTATTGGTGTATGCAGTGTGTGTGTTGTATTAGTGTATGCAGTGTGTGTGTTGTATTAGTGTATGCAGTGTGTGTGTTGTATTGGTGTATGCAGAGTGTGTGTTGTATTAGTGTATGCATTGTGTGTGTGTTGTTAGTGTATGCAGTGTGTGTGTTGTGTTAGTGTATGCAGTGTGTGTGTGTGTGTTAGTGTATGCAGTGTGTGTGTTGGATTAGTGTATGCAGTGTGTGTTGTGTTAGTGTATGCAGTGTGTGTGTTGTATTAGTGTATGCAGTGTGTGTGTTGTGTTAGTGTATGCAGTGTGTGTTGTATTAGTGTATGCAGTGTTTGTGTTGTGTTAGTGTATGCAGTGTGTGTTGTGTTAGTGTATGCAGTGTGTGTGTTGTGTTAGTGTATGCAGTGTGTGTGTGTAAATGTGCAATCTGGGGGTGGGGGGGAGAAGGGGGCATTTTCACAGTAATTTTTTAATTTTATATTAAATTAATTAAATGTTTCTCTCCCCTCCCTGCTTCTTACCTGTGCCCAGGGAGGGGGGAGATTCCATCCCTGGTGGTCCGGTGGCATGGTGGGCCCCCCGCTCCCTGTTACCGCAGAGGGGGCCCAGCACACTACCTTTAGTCTTCTCTTCTCCTCTCTTCCAATAACTCTGGCGGAGCGTTGCCATGGTAACCAGGCCTCGCGAGAGTTATTATAAGAGAGGAGAAGAGGCAGTGTGCTGGACCCCCTCTCCGGACCACCAGGGATGGCTGTGTTCCCCCCCTCCCCTTCACCAAAGGTAAGAAGAAGGGAGGGGGGGATACTGAATCAATATGCTTTAAAAAAAAAAAAAGTTTATAATGTATCTTCAACCCCCCCAACAGAGCACCCCTAACCCCTCCATCAGAGCACCCCTACCCCCCCAACAGAACCCCCCTACCCCTAACCCCCCAACAGAGCACTCCTACCCCTACCCCCAACACAGCACCCCTACCCCCACACACACAGCACCCCTACCCCCGACACACAGCACCTCTACCCCCCCCACACACAGAACCCTTCACACAAACAGCACCCCTCACACACAACACAGCACCTCACACACACACCCTTACAAACACATACACTGCACCCCTCAATGCAGTATACGTGTGTGTGTATTCAGCAGTCTTTATGTATTCAGCAGTGGGTGTGTGTATTCAGCAGACTGTGTGTGTATTCAGCAGTGTGTGTGTATTCAGCGGACTGTGTGTATGCTTGTGTGTATGTATTTAGCGGACTGTGTGTGTATTTAGCAGTCTGTCTGTGTGTCGGTGTGTGTATGTATTAAGCAGTCGGTGTGTGAATGTGTTCAGCTGTCTGTGTGTATGCATTGCATTTGATGGAGATACTAATAAATATAAGCTTAATTTTATCTATTTATATCATTATTTAAAATTTGTATCATTGAACTCTCTGTTGTGTTCTTTTAAAACAAAAGATGTTAACTAGTTCGGACAACTGTACAAGTCGTTTTTTCTAAGCTTAAACCTCAGTATTCAGGTTTAATTGCCGTGTTGGCACTTTGAGGAAAAAAAGTTGGCATGTATTGCGGTTTGGGCACTCGGGCTCAAAAAGGTTCACCATCACTGGTATTGATCATGCCTCTCAGAATTCACTGCCATTTAGAAGTTAAATCACTTTGTTTCTGTTTATGCAGCCCTTGCCACATTTTTGTTTCATGCATGAAAAAACTGGTTTAACTTTCAATCAGATGTAATTTACCTTAAACAATTGTATCTCTTGCTCTGTAAATTGAACTTTAATCACATACAGGAGGCTGTAAAAACTCTAAAAAGTTACTCAAAGCTTACCTGTATTAAATGGTGACCCAACAATATTACAAGATCTAAGGTTAAAATCTGAGATATCCATACATTTCAGTATTCAACCTCTTTTGGGAGTGGCAAAGAATACGGATCATGTAAAGCCCACAGCCACCTGCAAAATGGACAGATTGTCTTGTCTAAGTTGTTTTTGAATTACTAGTCCAAAATACCATATGACTGCATTAACATGAAGAAAAATACCTTATTTCTTACCATCATCTAAATGGGAAATATCATCTGACATTAACTGAACGTGTCAGTTGATTTTTTTGGATTGTCTAAATTGGACCTGAATACATCATCTATCGCAAAGATACATGATGTATTCAATGTAACTTATTCGAGAAACGCTGACTTTACCTTCGATCCAATGCCGCCATTTCCTCCTTTGTGGATGTTCTTCTTCATGTAACAAGTCCGGTCCGTCTCTTGATCCTCCTTCTCTTTTCTTTGATTTGCCCTGGTTGGGGAAGCTAACTCAAGCAGGGCAAACCTTCCGTGTGATGCGGACACGTTGGTTTAGTTGCCAGCATGCCTACGTCTGAACAGAGTGACGTGAGGCACTCCATTCCTATACTCCCTATCCAGCACTAGCACCTCGGCTAGCGAGTTTCCATAGCAACCACAACGCACGCACTGAGTTTGCTATGCTTGGGATGCAGAATGACTGCATGCAGAAGTCTTTTATGCTCTCACTAGTCAGTAAAATAGTCAGTAAAATAGTATGCATGGCATCTACTGAATCCACTGAAAGGTGTGAGAAAGACCTATTTATAAATGGGTTTTTCTCCCAATCTATACATTTGTTGATAAATCTGCTAGCACAATCTAGAGGTTAATCGTATACTCTTTCGAAAGAACATACCCATGACAGGTACCCTATAACAATGAGTACAGATAACACACAAATACATTATGTTAAAAGGTGATCACAAACCAAAAGGCACTTTTATTAATTGAAAAGCATTGGTGCTGGTGAAGAGCTATTTCAGATGGGAAAAAGGTATGAAGGAAAGTTTTTCTTTTTTCTTTTTATAAACTTAGTTGCAATGCAATGTTAGCCCGTACATGTGTGAAAAGTCCAGTAGTCCTAGATCAGCTCTGCCTTTTACTTCCAATGTGTTTGCCTAACTTTTCTTCCAAAAGTTCAAGTGCCGAGAACCAGTTATCCACCATGACCATGTATGACAGGAGGTGACCACAGTTCTTATGCCTTTAAAATGTCATTGTCTGCAATAGGATGCAGGAATGAGTTTCCATGTATTAATCGGAAATTATTTTGTCTTTTCGACATCATTGTAGCAATAAGTGACATAATGGATATTAGAATAAAGAGCAAATAAATGCTGCTTTGTCATTATAGAGTCTAAAAGCTTGCAATTAATGTAGCAGAAAGATTTCCATTGATGTGATTCGGGTTAAGAATGCATGTCTTGCAAGTGCCAGAATCGTCATAATTCACCAGATCATCTTAACATTGTGAATTCTGGGCTGGAAATGCTGTGGTCAGATGTTTTTTTCTGGTATGAGAATCGATCTATGTATGTATAATGGCCAGCAGTTAGCCTTTTAGGCCAAGTAAACGTGCTGTATTCAAAATGTCATCTCGGGTCATATAACATCCACAGAGCTGTCTGTATCCTGTGAAGGACTCCCGCCCATGCAAGACTCTCCAGTTATCCACAAAAAGTACCTGTAACAAGAAGAAGTTGCAGATTACAGAACAATGAGAAAAACTTATCAATGTAAATTAGATCATTAGTGATCTCCAAACTAATCCTTAACGGAAAAAAATCCCAAGACAATTATTATATTTACCCATCCACTATATTTAACAAATCTGTGTTTTTGTGCTCTGAAAAATAAAATTAGATGTAGAAATCCACACTGCTGTATTTACAGTGAAAAAAGTATTTGATCCCCTGCTGATATTGAACCTTTGCCCACTGACAAAGAAATGATCAGTCTATAATTTTAATGGTAGGTGTATTTTAAAGGGATACTCCAGGTACCCATACCACTTCTGCCCATTGGAGTGGTCTGGGTGCCAACTCCCACTACCCTTAACCCTGCAAGTGTAATTATTGCAGTTTTCATAAACTGCAATATTTACCTTGCAGGGTTAACTCCTCCTCTATCAGACAGCCACTAGAGGGACTTCTGCCTTCTTAAAACACAGAAAGTGTTTTAAGCAACGCTGGACATCCTCACGCTATGTGAGGATCTCCAGCGTCGCCAAAATCCCCATAGGAAAGCATTGAATAATGCTTTTCTATGGGGAGGTCTATTGCGTGTGCACGGCCATTGCCGTGCATGCGCATTAGGTGCGCATTAGGTCTCCCCCGCTGACGTCGGCGGAGAGTAGGCGGAGACTGACCCAGCGCCGAGAGACATCAGCGCTGGACTCCGGTCAGTCACTGAAGGGGTTTTAACAACTTGGGATGGGGGGTGGGAGGGAGAGGAGCACTACAGGGTCCTGCAGTGCCAGGAAAACAACTGGAGAATCCCTTTAACAATGAGAGACAGAATAACAAAAAAAAATCCAGAAAAGTTATATATTGATTTTCATGTTAATGAGTAAAATAAGTATTTGACCCCGTCGACTTGGTGGCAAAAACCCTTGTTGACAATCACAGAGGTCAGACGTTTCTTGTAGTTGGCCACCAGGTTTGTATAAATCAATTAATAACTTTTTTGACATGTGTTTTTCTGGATTTTATTTTTGGTTATTCTGTCTCTCACTGTTAAAATACACCTATCATTAAAATTATAGACGGATCATTTCTTTGTCAGTGGGCAAACGTTCAAAATCAGCTGGGGATCAAATACTTTTTTTCCCTCACTATCTCTACGTAAAAAAGATATTAATTAGAATATTTCCCATCTCTCCTCTTTTTCTCTCTCTAAAATAATCGAACTTTGGGCAATACAATAATGAAAAGATCCACTTTACGTGGAAACTAACACCCACAAAAAATACAAATATTCTTAACAAATGATCGGAATACGTACACAGAAAATAGCTTTCCAAATGTAAGATATATTCTAAGAACTACTTTATGCTTGGTATACCAAACCACACAGTATGTTTCCGCAGTAATAACATCAAGCATTTGATTGACAGTGTGCTCCTAAAGTTTATATCCAATTAGTGGCCCACAAGGCTTTTTAAATCCAACATTTTTCAAATACTGTCTATGTATATATTTTAGATACTAATTTGCAGGTAAATAATAAGCAGAATAAATATACAATAAATATAAAGATAAAGTAACAAAAAAAAAAAAATGTTTGCAAGCTTGTGGTCTGAGGTTAATATCGAAATAAAGCAACAACACCGTATACAGGCAGAACGTTACATATGCTTCTAGCCCTCAAAAACACCACACAGGCAGGAAACAAAAGAAATGATGATGGAGCTAGTGAAACTATGGCACATGAAGAAGAACCCCCCTTTGTTCTCCTCCATGTTGTATTACTTAAGAGGACTGCAACCATCGCTCCATTTTTTTGTCAGACAAACCGTTCCTGGTTAAAGACACACTAACATTAGTAATGCAAACATGTATTCCTCCTGTCTGAGTTGTTTCTAAACTATTTAGATTTTTTTAAATAAACTTTTTTTCTTTGGTTTTTACTGTATGTATTGTGGCTAATGTGTACTATGGTTGTGGCTGCCGCCCAAGAATAGTGGGAGTTTGAGCACAGGACTTGTTTTTTTTGTATTCACTTTTGTATGCAAACAGCTGCCGCCCATCCCATGTGTTCCTTATTAGGGGTTAATAAGCAGGTAGGGGTGTATATAATAAAATATCCCTTTCTGTCTCAGTAGAGATGTCTTTGCCAGAAGCTCAAGGAAGCAAGGTGAAAGGTTAGTGTAGGACCCGCCTGGGAGGTTTGCCTTGACGTGGCAGGTGGGCTAAAGTCTCTCATGGCCATTGGAGAAACTAAATAACCTCCATTTGTTTAAATATGCATAGGTTTTTGGGAAAGAGCACAGGTAACTTTTTTCTTTGGGTTTTACTGTATGTATTAGGGCTGATGTGTACTATGGTCGCTGCTGCCGCCCAGGAGTGATGGGAGATTGAGCGAAGGACTTGTTTTTTTGTATTTGTATTTCAAGTTTTACTCCCCAAATAGCAAAGTAAAAAGTGATGCTTACTTTTAGCAGCCTGGTGTGCCGTCCTCACCACAGGCTCCCCTATGCTCCTGGCTGACAGCATCATTACAGATAATCAAAGCTAATCCAGTGTTTCCCCATAGGGAAGCATTGGGAGGTGTAGCAAATCGCCAAACTGCACCAATCATCGTCGCCTTATAGAGATGCATCTCCACAGGGATTGTTTGGAGTCTTCACACAGAGCATAAAGATGCTGAAAGCCAGTCTTGCAAAAATGAGCAACAGGAAGCACTTTTAGTGGCTGTCTGAGTGACAGCCACTAGAGGTGGCCACAGGAAGGAATGTAAACAAATGTATTCGGCTCTGTGGTCTCAGCAATGCAGTGTCTGTGCCTTAAACCATTACATTAAGCTATAGTAGTCCTGGTGCGTAGAATGTGCTTTTAATAAAGGTAATAGCAAAAACTGCAATGACAACAAATGAAGTTATAAGTGCAAACCCTCCAAACAAATGGATCTTTGATAGATTCTGACAGCTGCATACTTCAATAGTTCCATAAGTAACATGCAAACTGTCAGAAAGAGGTAGCGTATGCTCATTTCTGTATACTGCAGAGCATCCTGGAACTGTTGTCAAATACAGAAAGCCAAACCTGGTTATCCTGATTTTAAAGGTTTGAATATTGCATAGTCTTCTCAAGCTCACGTCTACATCACACAGAGTATTCTTAATCTGTTTGAATATGGAGCTTGAAAAACAACCAGGGAACCTTAACATTGAGAACATATAAATCTAAAAAAAACATTCAGTGGTATCCATGGGGGTCATGGGGAGAAAAAAAATAATCAAGACATTAAGGGGTCCCGACCTTACTCCTATACTGAATAGCAGCTCTAGATATACAGATAGACATCTAAAGTGGCCACACACTGCCCTCTTGTGAGCAAAATTTGTGCTTGCTATTTCAAATGCAAGCAACTAATTTTCCAAATTCTGCTTTTCACAAGCCTATCAATACAGATGGAGCCTTAAAGAGATGAACTGTGATCATAAGACCAAAAATAGATTTTTCTTCATATTGTTTAGTTTAATAAGTGATATTTATACTATATACAATTTCTATTATCCCCAGAAGTTATTCCACCCGACAGTCCCAATAAATAAACAAACACACTGTATTTTCAAGGCTAATTGTTCAGCCTGTTGACTCTCTCGAAAATTATACAAATAAAGATTGTCAAAAAAATACCAAATACAAACATACTGTAGATATGTTTCCTACACCTCGCCGCACAAGGTCAGCCGCAACTGCCCCAAGGAACACAGTAAAATTACTGGTACTTCACTTATTATGCCAGTTTATTTATTAAACTTAGAAATGAATAAAATATATAAAACAAATGGGAAAACCATCAATGGAAGTCATCAGAAAATGTAGTGATCATTTCAGAGACTATTTTCTAAACTAACCTCTATAATCATTCAGCTGAGTGCTGGGTTTGTTTTTTTAATTAACTTAATTTCTGTTATATTAGAAATTTATTTTTACAAAAAATCCCCAAAATACACTAGAAAAAAACATGTCTGGTTCTGAAACAAGCAAGCTTCAGTTGTAAATACTATAATAAATAATTATATTATTCATGTATGTTTCTGGCCTTACCTTCCCTGGTTTTAGCTTCACCCACAGCTCATTTTCAGGCTTCCTCAGCTCATTAGTGAGTGTGCGATGAGCTGCGTACCAACGGCGGACCACATCGTAAGGTACAGTGTTGATGACAGCCCGATCGTAATTATTGTACCTATAAAACAGAAAGATATTATAATTACTGTACCCATAAAGACAATCACCAATTTTTTTTCAAATTCTCTTCAAAGGTTTATAAAATGGGCCTACATTGTCATTGGGAGAAAGAGGAAAAAAAACCCATAAATTAACATTCTCGATTTTTGTTTATGATTATAGAGAAAAAGTTAATAAACTGGACAGTAGTCCTAGACTTAAAGAGATACTAGGATCACCGGAACCACTACAGCTTAATATAATGGTTCTGGTGTCTATAACCTGTCCTTGCAGGCTCAGCAACTTAAACGTTGCCTTTTCAGAGGAAAGTCGGTGTTTACATTTTCTGCTTAGTAAACTTTTAGGTGCAGTCACTCAGACGGCCACTAGAGGTGCTTCGTATTACAGTGCTGTACACACATTTAGCGTCTCCATGCGGAATGCCCCCCATAGAGATGCATGCTTTGCATGGAAGCTCTGAACATTCCTAATAAAGATGCATTGTCTCTCTATGAGGAGATGCCGATTGGCTCAGCAAGATGTTTTGCCGCGTATGAGCAATAGTCTCCCAATGCTTTCATATAGGAAAGCATTTGGATTGGCTGAGATTGTCAAGATTGATGATCTCAGCCAAGGAGGTGGGGCCAGACGCAGCAAGACCAGCACAGTTATGGAGAAAAGGTGAGAGTTTTTTTCTACTCCATTCAGACTGGGGCCAGGGACCTAAACAGGTACTCAAGCACTACAGTGTCAAGAATACAGGTGTGTATACCTGATCATGTACAACTCTTTATTCCAAGGGTAGACATTCAATACAGGGCCAATGCCCACCATGTGGTTATTTCTCCCCACCACATTCTCGATGTATTCATGTTTCATTGGCACATTGCAAAGCAGGTCGAAGTCTTCACTTGAACGTTGCCGAACCTGATCTGCAGCATAGAAGCCATCCACTAACAAAGTACGACCCCCTGTGCCTTCATGCCGTAGACAATGGAAAAGCTGCATGCTGGAAGAAGAATTCAGGAAGACGTGAGACATACACTGTTAACATTCATTTACCCAATTTGCATCAGACAGATGATTTACACAGAAGACAACATACTTTTTCATTAAACCAGGAATTGTGAAGAATTGACAAAGGGATATCACACAATAACACAAGAAACATGATGAGCTGGGCAAGAGTGTAGTGCACAGATTTAGTCTCTATTTTATATAATTTTTCCAGAGCTGATACCGTTACAGATTATCTGTTATCTTTAGGGCAGATTTTCAATAACCGGTGCCAATATTCTTGACATTTCGAAACAAACTGGCATTAACTGAACATGCAATCACACGCCTATCACTTTCAGGCACCTAGCCAAGTAATTCAGAGTAGATAATTCACTGTCTCATCTCCCTGCCTTCAGCTGAGCTCCGCATGCGGGGACTCACGGGGAGAGGAGACATGAGGCTGAAATGTGGTGAATCATCGCTGCCGGACAGAGTTTCCAGAAGAGGAAAGTTAAGTAAGTTACTTGGAAAAGTGAATGTTATCGGTTAATTACAAAGCCAATACTGATTATTAATAAAATGTTGAATATTGGCTTTAATAGTCGATAGAACCAATAATTTGTCTATTCCTATTCATCATAATTATAAAAAATTTTTTAAAAAGCGATTCACTCACTGATATATACAGTGAGGGAAAAAAAGTATTTGATCCCCTGCTCATTTTGAACATTTGTCTATTGACAAAGAAATTATCAATCTATAATTTTAAGGGTAGATGTATTTTAACAGTGAGAGAACGAATACATTTATAACTTTTTTGACACGCGTTTTTCTGGAAATTTTTTTTGTTATTCTGTCTATCAACTGTTAAAATACACCTACCATTAAAATTAGACTGATCATTTCTTTGTCAGTGGACAAAAGTTCAAAATCAGCAGGGGATCAAATACTTTTTTCCCTCACTGTATTTAAAAAAAATTTAAATAATGAAGGGGGAAGTTATCATCATGGGTGACTTTAATCTTCCTGATGTAAATTGGAAAACAAAATTAGCTACTTGTGCCAGGAGCACACATATTCTAAACTCCCTACTGAGATTGTCTCTAAAACAAGTTGTTGAGGAGCCAACTCGTAAAGAGGCCATACTAGATTTAGTGTTAACAAATGGAGATTTGGTATCAGATATTACTATAGGTGAAAGTTTAGGATCCAGTGATCATCAGTCAGTGTGGTTTAATATAAGAACAGTGTCTGAGTCACACCACACAAAAACAAAAGTTTCAGACTTTAGAAAAACAGACTTTTCTAAAATTAGAATATGGGTAGAGGAGTCATTATCAGACTGGAGCAATTTAAATGGAGTCCAAGAGAAATGGGATTATTTAAAAGTTGCACTATTGAAGGCAACAGAAAATTGCATTAGGCTTGTCAGTAAAAGCAAAAAATTCAAGAAACCACTGTGGTACTCCGCAGATGTGGCCAAAATAGTTAAAAACAAAAAGTTAGCATTTAGGAATTATAAAAAAACCCAGAGTGAGGAAGACAAAATGATCTATAAGATTAGGCAGAAAGAGGCTAAGCAAGTTATAAGAGCTTCCAAATCACACACAGAAGAGAAAATAGCACAGTCAGTAAAAAAGGGGATAAAACATTTTTTAGATACATAAATGAGAAAAGAAAAGTAAAACAAGGATTAGTTAGATTAAAAACAAAAGAAGGAAGGTATGTAGAAGAGGATAAAGGTCTAGCTGACTGCCTCAATGAATATTTTTGTTCTGTATTTACAGATGAAAATGAAGGAAAGGGACCTCAGTTGAGAAAAAGGATAAATGAGTAATTTATTACACGTGAGTTTACAGAGGAAGAGGTTCTATTTCAACTGTCAAAAGTAAAGACAAATAAGTCAATGGGACCTGATGGAATACACCCAAAGCTATTAAAAGAGCTTAGTGGTGTACTAGCAAAACCATTAACAGATTGATTTAACCAATCATTGTTAACAGGAGTAGTCCCAGAAGATTGGAAGTTAGCGAATGTTGTGCCCATTTACAAGAAAGGTAATAGGGAGGAATTGGGCAACTATAGGCCAGTAAGCCTTACTGCAGTAGTGGGGAAAGTGATGGAAACCATGTTAAAGGATAGGATTGATGAACATCTAAAAACACATGGATTTCAAGATCAGAGACAACATGGGTTTACTTCAGGGAGATCATGCCAAACTAATCTTATTGATTTTTTTGATTGGGTAACTAAAATTATAGATCAGGGTGGTGCAGTAGACATTGCTTACCTAGATTTCAGTAAGGCTTTTGACACTGTTGCACATAGAAGGCTTATCAATAAACTGCAATCTTTAAGTTTGGATTCCAATATTGTTGAATGGGTAAGGCAGTGGCTGAGTGACAGGCAACAGAGGGTTGTAGTTAATGGAATATATTCGAAGCTTGGACTTGTCACCAGTGGGGTACCTCAGGGATCTGTACTTGGACCTATTCTCTTTAATATTTTTATTAGTGATATTGCAGAAGGTCTTGATGGTAAGGTATGTCTTTTTGCTGATGATACTAAGATATGTAACAGGGTTGATGTTCCAGGAGGGATAAGCCAAATGACAAATGATTTAGGTAAACTAGAAAAATGGTCAGAATTGTGGCAACTGACATTTAATGTGGATAAGTGCAAGATAATGCATCTTGGACGTAAAAACCCAAGGGCAGAGTACAGAATATTTGATAGAGTCCTAACCTCAACATATGAGGAAAGGGATTTAGGGGTGATTATTTTTGATGACTTAAAGGTAGGCAGACAATGTAATAGAGCAGCAGGAAATGCTAGCAGAATGTTTGGTTGTATAGGGAGAGGTATTAGCAGTAGAAAGAGGGAAGTGCTCATGCCATTGTACAGAACACTGGTGAGACCTCACTTGGAGTATTGTACACAGTACTGGAGACCGTATCTTCAGAAGGATATTGATACCTTAGAGAGGGTTCAGAGAAGGGCTACTAAACTGGTTCATGGATTGCAGGATAAAACTTACCAGGAAAGGTTAAAGGATCTTAACATGTATAGTTTGGAGGAAAGACGAGACAGGGGGGATATGATAGAAACATTTAAATATATAAAGGGAATCAACACAGTAAAGGAGGAGACTATATTTAAAAGAAGAAAAACTACCACAACAAGAGGACATAGTCTTAAATTAGAGGGACAAAGGTTTAAAAATAATATCAGGAAGTATTACTTTACTAAGAGGGTAGTGGATGCATGGAATAGCCTTCCAGCTGAAGTAGTAGATGTTAACACAGTAAAGGAGTTTAAGCATGCGTGGGATAGGCATAAGGTTATCCTAACTATAAGATAAGACTAGGGACTAATGAAAGTATTTAGAAAATTGGGCAGACTAGATGGGCCGAATGGTTCTTATCTGCCGTCACATTCTATGTTTCTATGTTTCTATAATATTTTTAGATATGTCCATTTCAATAGCACAGTATTTATAACTGATACAGATAATGGCTACCATAGGCTGAGTTTTATTATTATTATTACTACCATTTATATAGCGCCAACAGATTCCTAAGCGCTTTACAATATTATAAGAGGGGGGATTTAACTATAAATAGGACATTTACAAGAAAACTTACAGGAACGATAGGTGAAGAGCACCTTGCTCAAACGAGCTTACAGTCTATAATAAGTTTAGTGCATTACCTAGATTTCTAGGCCAACCCACCACACTATCATTTAGCACTGTAATTAGAGCACATAAATACTCTACAGTATTTGGTACCTTACCATAGTCATTCTCTTTCTAGATGGCAACTCACGCTTGCTACTTGTATATAGTTTTATATAAGTGGCATACACTTTTTTTTTCTCTACTTTATGATTGATACCTACTGGTGTAACTAAATTTTTGTCTGCCGAGGAACTCAAAATGTTAATGAGTGTTTCACATACTTACTCTGGGCATGCACTACAATATCTCATGCATGCTATATAACAGAGCTGTTGAGGACAGGGGAGGGCTTGGCTATGCTGCAAAAACATCCTAATATTGTTTATGCATAAACCACAACTAAAATATGAATCTCACATTTGTTTCACTAAACGCTAAATGGCTGGACTCTCCACATAAGCGTAGACTGGCTCTTCAAGAGAGCAATAGCACAAGTGGCCTTTTTTTCAGGAAACCCATTGTTAGCATCCAAAATTGCATACATTCTAAACTTAAAGGGAAATAAAGTATTAGATCCTTCCCGCATAGTAGAGGAATTTGCATGATATTACCAAAACCTATATAACCTAAAAGCAGACGCCAATACCTACTCAACATCAGCAGAAATCATTGCTTAGTTTTTTACCTCAATGAATTAGTTGACCCTCTCATACAGCATAGCAGCAGAGTTGATTAAACCATTTACTCACAAAGAAATTAAAAAGGCAATTACTGCCTTGCCTAACCACAAGGCACTGGGATCAGATAGCCTTCCAGGAATATACTATCTCCCCTTTAAAGCACAACTCACACCATACCTAACGACCCTGTACAACAGTAGCTGCACTTTGGGCTCCCTCCCACAGGAGATGTTGATTGCTCATATAGTAACACTACCTAAGCCAGGGAAGTCACCCATGGAATGTCAAAATTTCAGTCCAATTTCGCTGCTAAACACTGACACTAAATTATATGCAAAACCTTTAGCTAACAGAACGACAGTTTTTTACCCTTCCTTATTTAAGATGACTAATCAGGCTTTAAATTGTGACGGCAAGGTTCTGACAATACACATCATTTACTCAATGTGCTAATCTGTCTAAGTGGGTTACAAACTGAGCGACTTCTCTTGGCACTAGGTAGGTATGGAGGATTAACAAACCCATGGAGTGGATCTTCTATGCTACATGTGGATTCCACCAACTTTGAGGGGATCAACCTCCTGTGTGTTTCTTACCACAAAAATTTCCCTAGCCACATGCAACTCTTTTGTGGGTGAGCTGGGATGCTCCACAAAATTCAAACCCTTGACACCGTTAGAGGCTGTCTGTGACCAAAAGGAATCTACAGGATCTCACAGCTGATCTCCAAAGGGAGACCTTCAACTGTGAGACCTTCAGGAAACCTAGGCCCTACCAACCAACTTTACCTTTCCATACTTACAAATGAAAGGTATGCTTTTGAAACATGTACAACTCTACTGGGTAGAATTTGCTTTAGAGAGTTGGGACCTAAAAGGATTAATTGGTAGTTGTTGTGATAACCCACTGAAAACTAAACTATCTTTATGCTATAGATGTCTATTGCACAACAATGTAAATCAAAAGTTGACTTAAATTGAACAATGGGAGTTAAACAATAAGTGATTTTGAGTCGATGGAAAAGTTTAGGAAAGTTTAAAAAAAATTAATAAGCAAAACAAAAGTTTAAAAACTAGTTTTAAAAAGTAAAAAAGTAAAAAAAAAGAAAAAAATACATTTTAAAAACACTCATTATCACTACACCTGGAACAAACTAGAGAAAGAATTATCCCGCCAAGGTTCAAAATATGCCTTTTGAATTACCCCATGGTGTATTCTTTAATAAATAGTATGTGTTTGTGGGGAAGTTTCAATAACCAACCATCTAAACTACTCCAAATTGGAACATGGACACAGCGTAAAACGTCAAAGTTAGAAAAAAACTGAATGGCTGCGTCTCAAATGCGCCCCTTCAACATCCACATATACCTGGCAAAGGTACATACGGGGGTATTGCTGTACTCAGCCGACATAGCTGAGCAACATATGAAGTATTATACAGTCATAGCACACATAAGGTTTGCAAAATATGCTGCGCAAACTCACTTTGTATGTCAAAAAGGCAGAAAAAATGCTTATTACCACTACACTTGGTACAAGCTAGCGGAAAAATGATCCCACGCTAAGGTTCAAAATATGCCTTTTGAAATACCCTGGGATGTCTTCTTTAAGAAATGGTATGGCTTTATGGGGTATTTGGATTATATAGCCTGGTAAAATACTCTAAAATGGGACATGGGCACAGCCTAAAAATTTAAAGTTTGAAAAAAACTGGAATGGCTGTGTCCCAAATGTGCCCCTCCGATGTCCACATATACCTGGCAAAGGTACATATGGGGGTATTGCTGTACTCAGCCGACATAGCTGAGCAACATATGAAGTATTATACAGTCGTAGCACACATAAGGTTTGCAAAATATACTGTGCAAACTCACTTTGTATGTCAAAAAGGCAGAAAAAACGCTTATTACCACTACATCTGGTACAAGCTAGCGGAAAAATGATCCCACGCTAAGGTTCAAAATATACCTTTTGAAATACTCTGGGGTGTCTACTTTAAGAAATGGTAGGCCTTTGTGGGGTAGTTTGAATTTAAAACCTGCGAAGATGCTTGGAAATTGCACATAGGCCCAGCGTCAAAATTCAAAGTTTGGTAAAAACGGATATGGCTTGGTCTCCTATATGGCACTGTAGCTTCACGAAATAGTGCCAAAGACATTCATTGGGGTGTCTTTTTACTCAGAAGACTTAGCTGAGCATAATTTGGGAGGTTTGAACTTAGTGGCACATATGAAATATACAAAACGCCCAGCAAAAATGCAATCCGTATGTAAAAAATGCACAAAATTTTTTTTACCACATACTTTGGCATATATTGGTGAAAAAATGGGGGTATGTTAAGGCACAATATGCACCTTATGAGATACCCTGGAGTGTCTACTTTTACAAATGGTAGGCCTTTGTGGGGGGTTTTTGAACAGTCAAACTGTTATAATACCCCAAATGGAAGCTAAGGCTCATTAAATCCATCTCTCAAAATTCTACTGTGAATACTGAAAAGGACAGGTATCCTATATGGCACTGTAACTTCACGAAATAGTGCCAAAGACATACAATGGGGGTGTCATTTTACTCAGCAGATGTAACTGAACACAAAATAAAACTTTGTACAGGAATAGCACACACCAACTTTACAAAATATACATGAGAATTTCTTTGTTATAAGTTTGTGTGCCAAAAAACAAAAAAAAACACAATTTTACTCCAATATTTAGAAGAGGTTGGCAGTGAAATGGCTACGTAGACAGTGTCAAAACAACCTTAGGTAAATAGCCCGTGATGTCTACTTTATATAAATATATACTTTTGTGTGGCAATTTTGTTTTCTTTTATGGCTATTAAGCTTACAAGACAAACATACCAAATTCTAAAATCGCTCCACATTAAAGGTTTAGTTTACTCCTTGTGCTTTGTGACCTGTAACTACCAAAAAAAAACTTAAAATCTCAGACACATTATTCTGTAAATCAGAACAACTAAATGAATTTATTTTTAATTACTTTTCTTAACCTGCACTAATTATGCACACATTATTATTGCAAAAACTGCAACAAAAAAAAACAACACATTTTCATTTTGTTTACATTTTTCTGTATTTTCTTTTATAATAAATAAGCATTTATATATATATATATATATATATATATATATATGTGTGTGTTACATCAAATTAAAGCCCTTTCTGTCCTTTAAAAAACGATGTATAATATGTGTTGGTGCAACAAATTAGTAAAATGCAAATTACAGTTGAACGCAAACAGCAAAAAATGAAAAAAATGCTGTTGTCATTAAGTGAAAGACAAGCTTTTGAAGCTCTGTCCTTAAGGGGTTAAGCAACATGTAGTTCACATTTCCCAGAGTAAGAGACCATGTAAATGACCTGCTAAGGATTATTACTGCCAATTAATCTCCACTGTCCCATCTTATGACCCAAAGCAACCTGCATCTTACGCAACATAAAAATGCTAAGTGCAACTGTACAGTCAAGTAACTAATACACCATACCTCCCCAGGAAAGGGGATAGCCACCATAGAGCTGATGTACTGACTCAATAAAAAAAATAAAAAAATAAAAGGTTGCATTATATAGTTGATAAATATGAGTCAATAGATGTCGTCTGTGTGACGCGCCAAGGCAATTAGACCATTGGAGGGAGATTATTGGGATATTTGGACAGTCAGGCATACTATAGCACTAGCGCAGTGTGTAAGAAGTCCATGGCACTCACAAGCGTACAATGCCTAGAGTGCTGCACAGGTGACACAAAGCATAAGTTTTAGATCGAAAGTCTCCTACACCACAAGTTATAAATATGTAATGTATAATATGCTATGTTACAGATTGTCTTCAACACCTATGATATATAAAGTATAAATACATAAGGTATTGTAAGTTTTAGACTTAAGATTTTTCTTTTTTATACCACAAGTTATACATAGGTAATGTAGAATGTGATATGGTAAAAAACGTCTTCTATATCTGAGATATACGAGTTACAAAAATGCAATATAATATTTTACGTTAGAGAATGTGACGAGAGCAATCTTGCCACATTGCATTGGAGAAGCCTGGTTGCTCGCCTGTTGCCTTTAGACTATGGCCCCATGTTAAAAGACATCTTTTTTACCTGCAGAAAAGATTTATTCGTGCTTTTCTGCCTGGTGTTCGGTAGATTCAATCTACCGAACAACCGCACGAATGACTGGACCACCTGGGAGCTGGAGTGTGCAGTCAATTAGCCTCCCTGAAGCTGCGGTTAACCGTAGCTTAATTGACGAATGCTGGGTGGCTGCCATTCGTATCACGAACACGAGGTCGCGGCCATTTTAAACATGCGAACGCACAGCGGTGTTCGACGCTTAATTCATGGAACTGAAATCGGACACAGTTTTGCGCGAACACCGATGAAGCCGCCGACCTCCCTTCTTGTTTGGTGAAAGTGCACGAACGGCCTGGTGTTCGGTAGTTTTACTTGAATATGTTATACCCCAGATAGGAATCCCATGGAGCCCATTCGCATGAGAACTGACTGTGTAAAGACTTTGGCTCCATGGCGATTACACTGTATTCGTGTGGTCTGAGCGCCATTCGCTTAATAATGTGCGCTCAGAGCTGAGCTATCTGGGGATATGTTAAATGTATAGTTTTAATGTAACATTTCCTACATGGTGTATTTTAACAGTAATTCGTGTTGTAGAATCCCCACGTGCATAATGGCGATTTGCCTTTGTCTTGGGAGATAATTGAATTACTTCTCAATTATCTCCAAGGCAGAGGGGAGGAAGCCAGGATGCATTGTGGGAATATAATGTGACTGTGTGTCCTATTTGTCTACTTGTCTGTCTTTTGTCACAGTCTCCCATTTGGTCCCCTAGGGGAGTGTCCACCAGGTGGGAGACCTGCATAAATACTGGGCAGGTAGCCCTCATTAAACAGACCACTGCTTGACCCTCAACACGGAGCCTTGTCTCGTCTTTGGGGGGGATTTACTGCACGCTGATAGAGACTGATTGCTAGGAGTGTAAGCCGCTTGGATGCTTTTCCTATTCGTCTGCTAGCAGCGATTCGTTTGGTTCCAGTTCGTGTGTTTGGAGTGCTATATTGGATGCCGTTCGGGAGTTTGGAGCATTCCCTTATTGGCGGTTCGTGAGTTTGGTGTTTTACAATGGCTGTGCCTGCATCTCTGGAAAGGGGGACGATCGCCTAAACGGTTTTTACCCCTTGTGTGCAAAACGGTCCGTTACAGAGAACATCTGCAACACCTATGATATGTACTCAATGTATGCCAATGTTCAACCCACAGCCCTCAGGACTCAGGATAAAACATCTATTATATAGAGTATCATTTAGACCTGAAGCCACCTTACGGAAACACAGAAGTTTCCACCCCCACGGTACCCATAGCAGTACCATGCCTCACGACCAGAGGTTATGTAAATATCTAGTTCATGTTTACCCCCAGTTTCATTTTCCCTCTCCCTTTCCCAGAAAACCCCACCAAAGTGTCACCGACCCGACCTAGGTTCACAGTACAACTCAAGGCGAGAGAAACAATGACAAGGTCACCCAATCAAACCAACCTACTCCACACCTCGAAAAAAGGCACCATAAACTGCGAAACGAATACACAGATGTAACCACAACTGATGCTCCCCCAAAACTAACAACATAACAACATATGAAAATACAATCACATAACGTTAGGGGATTAAATACCCCTCACAAACGCAGGATTCTACTAGAAGGTGCTAAACAGGACAGCATAGACATTCTTTGTCTCCAAGAAACACACTTTGCACACTGCAGGGTCCCAGAGTTTGGGAAACAGGAATATACAACCCAATATCACGCCACTTACTCCTCCAAAACAAGAGGTGTCTCTTTCCTATTTCATAAATCACTAACCTTTGAACTTTTACAGATGAAAAAAGACGCCCAGGGACGCTACCTCATACTGCACTGCAATATCAACAACGCATTATATACCTTAGTGGGGATATAAAGTCCAAACACCAACCAACGCAACTTTCTACACAAGGTACTGAACAAAATTCCCCACCATAACACGACTTCTTTGATAATATGTGGAGACCTCAATCATGTACTACACCCACGTATGGACACGACAGCGCCTACATCCACTCCCAGATCCAAAGCACTAAACCCACATTGTAAGTCCCTAACTAAACTTATTTCAGATTATGGCCTATACGACATCTGGCGTACCCTTCATCCAAACATGAGAGGATATTCATTCTACTCAGCGGTTCACAAAATGCATTCTAGAATAGATCACATTCTGGTGTCATGTGATATGATCTCACAGGTGACCAAATGTCAGCTGGGGGACATCGTGTGGTCAGATCATGCCCCGGTAACACTCACAATCCACGACACTTACAACCACAGAGGGAAACCCCCCTGGCGATTGAACAACACATTACTGACTGATGTAGACTTTAAAACTAAATTAGAAACAGACATAAATTACTATTTCCAGACAAATCAAAATCCGGAGCTCCTGCAATAACTAGAGGACTACTCATAAGTAGAGCAGCCTATATAAAACGGAGCACACAAAATAAATATCTGCAATTATTGACAGAGCTTCGAGAGATTAGACGAAAGACTAATAGAAATAGCACATACCACTAAACAAATCAATGACCTGCTGCTCCACAAAACGGCCCAGAACCTCCACAAACTCAAATTACGGCATTACACACAGGGTAACAGAGCTAGCAAAGCGCTAGCGTCAATGCTGAGGCAGAAACAAGCAATATCAAAAGTCCCATACATACTCAATAACGCAAGAGGGAAAATATACAACCCCTGAGAAATTAACACAATGATTGCTAACTACTGAAAAAGTCTTTATAGCCTGCGTGACGATACACAGACACACCAACCCAATCACACTGAAATACAAAACTTCCTCGCCAACATAAGACTACCGACTCTCACGCAATTGCATAAAGAAAGTCTACAAAAACCAATCACACTACAAGAACTGATGCAGACAATACGCTCACTACCATCAGGGAAATCACCAGGCCCAGATGGTTTCACCAACGAATATTATAAAACATTGCACAACACTGTAGCCCCGCACCTAGTCACAGCACTAAATAACATAGTACAATCAGGAAAAATGCCACCAGAGATGTTACTCGCGGACATAACCGGGGAAGACTCCGGATCAGCCAAAAAATCTACGCCCCATCTCCCTACTAAATACAGACACAAAAATCCTCGCAAAAAGATATGCTAATAGAGTAACGACCATCATACCTTCCCTGATACACCCAGACCAAGTGGGATTTGTGAAGGGGAGACAGGGGGCAGAGGGCACTAGAAAACTTAACAGCCTGCTCTATAGTAAAAAGGCCCACAAACAACCCAGAGTGTTTATGTCATTAGATGCCGAAAAGGCTTTTGACAGGTTGCACTGGAATTTCCGCCGAGCAGTCCTGCAAAAATTTGACTTCCCACCCGCATTTCAAGGCCTAATCTCGGCACTTTACTCTACACCTGCCGCCCAAATAATGAACGGAGGCTTTGTGTCCCAACCATTTGAAATCACAAACGGCACCCGTCAAGGATGCCCACTATCCCCAATACTCTATATCCTCGCCCTTGAACCACTAGCACAATCCATTAGGGACAACGTAATGATTAAAGGGGTAGGTATAGCAGACAAAGAATACAAAAGTACCATGTTTGCTGATGATGACCACAAGCACCTTAACACTACATCCTCCAGTGCCTACCAACTAGCATTAAAAAAATTGACAGATACTTAATATATCACATTACTTCCACTGCACTCACAAATATAAGCAGAAAATGGTTGCAAACAAAACCTCCGCACATAAATGAATGCATTCAACAAACTGAAGATACAAAAAAGTATGAAATGGCGGCTAGAGCGCATAGACCCCCACAGGCATACTGGAGGGTGGCGTGGGAAAGGTGGAACAGGCACCAACACACGCCACAAACCCACTAATACAGAGTAAAGGCTCCAACGACAACAAACAATAATGAACAATAATGAATGGTAGTGTCACCATAAATGATGCACCAAGATAAATGACACAAAATGAGAACACATAAAATGGGTAGAGGCAACAAGGGTCGACCCTCTTCCCTACTCCCCCCCCCTTCCCCAGTTCTTTGGGGAACAGTATCCTGGTTCTACCTCCAAGTTCAACCCCCCATACCAATCCCAACCACCATTAGGAACGTACAGTACATTTATAAGTTAAGACCAGAAACCAGCACAAATAGCACCACCACTAGAGCTCATCTGGAATAAAGAGCTGAAAGAATTATAATATGTATGATGTAACAAAGTATGGTGTAGCTTAAGAATCTTTCATCTAAAAAATGTGAACTGATAGCATGTGCATATTGTAACGCTTACTCTAACCAATGTACCATGTTGGAATGTAAATCTGTACACATTGTAAAACCATAAAAATTGCAAAAAAAAAAAAAAAAGGCAGACCAGGGACAGAGCCAGCACCATCGGACCTGCGCGGCGCTGGAAAGAAGGTACGTTTTAACCCCTTTTAAAAGGGGTTAAGGGGGAAAGCCACATAAATGGTGGATTAAACATTATAGGGTAAGGAATACATGTTTGTGTTCCTGACCCTATAGTGTTCCTTTAAGAAATTATAACCCAATATGGGGCACATTTGGTGTTTAGGTATTTAACTTCTAAATGGCAGTTCTGGAAGTGAAATGTTGCTCGTTCATTTAAATGAGTGTTCACAAACCACTAGAGTGGATCTTCTACATTACACTAGATATGGACTCCACCTATGTTGTTTCCCCTTCTTGTTGTTTCCTACAACAATGGTCAAATAGACTACGCATAACGCAAGAAGGATATGCAAAATGAAAAATATTTGCAAAAAAAATAATAGAAAGTGGTAACAACACCAAATAAAATGAATCTAGCACATGTTTATGCTGATACAGGAGAGCAATAATATTTTCCTTAACGCAGTCTAAAATCACATGTTGTTCTTAGGGGACAATAGGCTAACACTATGTGGAGCCTCAGTGCATTCGTAATGTGACACTTGTCATGAGAACACAATAGGGTATTTTCAAAGAAATGTTATTATAGGGTATCAGCTTGAAAATGAAATAACTGGAATGTTCACCTTACAACTCTTCACCTTCATCTATTACGAATGCCTGATTTGATGCACAGTCGCCTGTTCTTAACAATAATCACTTAAAGTTCACCTATAAAGCTAAACTGCAAAATTCAAAAGGTGTTTAAAAACAGTGATGCTAGCTTATATCACTATACTGAACTACATATGGGGCCACCACACTATATGTCCATTTATTTCTCACCAGAGTGCTCAGCTGTCAGTCGTACAGTTGGCAATGTGGGATGCTTAGCCTGGTGTGAGTGGGTGGATAAATGTGCATGCAACAACAAGCATCCACTGCAGCTGCCATATTGTTCAGTGAGGAATAAACATCAGGTCAAGTATATATTTTAGTTACATATTTACATAGTATTTTAGTTAATGCAAATGTAGGCAATTTTACTATAATATACAAAGTACATTTTAAATAAAGACGTAGAACCAGAACCACTACAGCATAATATAATGGTTCTAGTCCAAACAGCCTGTCTCTAGGCCGACAATTTTAAGTACTACCTTTTCGGAGCAAAGGGAGTGTTACACATGTACCTAAAGTCACCTCTATTTGCTGTCACTCAAATAGCCACTGGAGGTTCTTCCTGGTGTGGTCCTGCAATCTTTGTAGGACTAACATTCGACATCTTCATGCTCTGCATGAACAGGTCGAATGCTCCTAATAGAGATAAGCTGATCTAATATATCGTTATAAAAAGATGCTCAATGGCACAGCCAAATGATTGCGGTGAATGCTCTGTAGCCTTTCAATGTTTACCTACAAGATCATACAGTAATCATGAGAAGCAGCAGGCCATAGCAAGACCGGTCGGTCATCCGGAGATTAGTTATGTTGAGTAACAAAGCTTTATTTTGAAGGGGAGGCACTGAATCTAAATAGAAAGGAAAACACTCTAATGTTAGGAATACATGTTTGTTTTCCTAATGTTACAGTGTTCCTTTCATATCAACATACCTGGTTATCCAAAAGTTTTGATTATTACCAATCCACCAGAAAGTAGTTAAATTACTAAATCTAAACAGAAGTGGTTTGTGTAGATCATTGCAAGCTCGAATATTTGGAAAAATTCGTACGCATCGTAAGCGTTATAGCCACTACAACTATTTTATTTTTATTGTCACACTATTTTGGAGTGGTTTGACAAAAAACATGGCTTTCCCCAACTCTCATAAACCACTCTCTCTTCATCCACACTCATAATGTGGAAACTACAAACTTTTGCGTGCGTATCTGTTCAAGCTGAACAACCATAATTGGCTGAGAGGCACACAGGCTAATCTGCCACAGTACCATAGCCACATCAAGGAGGTGCAGCAGGCAAGATGCCTGAAGTGCCACTTTAATATAAAACATTTTAAAATGAAATTATGTGGAAACTATTAGTGGTTCCAATTTACCAAAAGGTGAACAGTTATATATTTCACTGGCAAAAACAGATGTTTGTTTTTGGGCCTCGTTTCCGGTATAATTGTGCATAGAAATTAGATACTCAGATAAATCTTCCTGGCTGCACTGAATGCCAACTGATATCTGAATTTGTTTGGATTAAAACATCTTATTTGTAAGCCACTCACCCGCAGGGCTCCTGAAAATAAGTGGTATCTGTGTGCCGATCCAAAGCTAGTTTTGTGTAAGCAGTGTCCCCTCGTGAGAAGTCAGAAGTGAGATCCCACATCTTGCCATAGATAGTTTCTCTGTAAATTTCCATAAATGATCATTTTAGCATATATTTTTATATACAAATTCAAAGCACAACTCTTTATTGGCATTATATACTAAATAAAGAGGCTGAGTTGACCCTAGATATTATATTTTAGAAAATAAACAAATATACATTGTTTTAAAATGAGAGAATAATCACAATGGTTAGTCACTAAACAAGCAAACAAACTAGGTAGTGTCCTTTGTCTGCGAGAACCATGCAGAGCCTAATTTAAAGTGTCCAAGTTATGATTTTTTTCTTTTGGTTTTCATTTCCTTATGTCCCCCTTATATTAATGATTACACTCCTGCATATGTCACTTGTCTTTGTTTATATCTATTATCCCTTGTGCTTGATCTCAATATCTGCATGCAGCCATTTTGTTCTCCTCTGCCCATGATGTCTGCAGTTTCCATTCTGTGTGATTGATTATACTAATCGATTGAATTGAAGGAAAACCAGTCCCTAGATTTTCCTTATGTATTTTATGAACACTAGAGCTCCCACGGAAAAAAAGTTCAGAGACAGGGAGCTATATAGAAGGAGATTAGATAAAGTTTATCTTTGGTGACAGAGCCAGCTTAAGATACATTGCATCTTTTTTTAAACACATTATCTACCGTATATAATGTATTAACTGGGAGCCAACACCAGCCTGTAGAAATGCATTTTTCACAGTTATTACAAAAACCTAAATAATCAAAACATTGAAATGTGTGAATCTTTAATCTAGAATAATAAGAATCTGTAAGTGAATATGTCATGAATAGTATAGGCAAAATATATGATGTATGGTGTGTTTTATCTAAAAGGGGAAGGTGACTGAATATAAGACTAAATAATTGAGAAGTCTCTAAATGTAGCCATTGTATTGTTGTTGGAAAACACAAATTGGACGCTACTAATATATATTAATATTTTAAATCCAGGTTAGATTTTTTTGGAGGGGGGGTGACAAAGGTATGTTAAAGTGCTTTGCGTTCCGGTTTTAGGAAGTGTACAGGAAACTGTCCACAATAACCAGGGTGACCTGCCAGTAATTTGGGCGGCACCGAACATTTTGGGCAGAGCCAATGACATGATTCTATAGATGTCAGTTTTTGGAGGTATGGGTAAACTGTGGCGGTATGGGTAAAAAAAACACACTTATCTCTGAAGACTTCTGTGTTCATGGCACCATTGTGACCCAGTGATGCTCTGTGTGTACGTGTAAAGAAATCTCATAAGAGCGCGTGCACACATTTGGGCATTTCTTCAGAGTACCATACAAGGGCACGCAAATTCAAGAGACTGTACTGAATCACATTTAAAGCAAAACCAGAATGGAATCTGCACTATTATTATATACTGTAATAAAAGGAGGAAAAATTGCAATTAAGCATAGATAGCTTTTTTTTGTACTATGCTTGAGAATACAAACAAATGATTAATTTGATGAATACCATTTATTTGGATCCTTTATAAAGCTTCAATGCATGTCATCAGTGATATCGGTGTATATCCATGACATCACATACAGTGCTATGACAAAATGTCTTATAAAACTGGGGGAAAAAAGCAGAATGAACATGCATGAAATACGACAGGAGACACTAGACCTGCTGAAAGCATCTTTCAATTCAGCAAGTTTGCTTTAAATAGGAATACATTAGTAGTGTTCAACAGGTTTTCTACAAAAAATGTTGCATGAATAGAAGCTGCTGATGGGCCTAGTCTATATAACTAATGACAATCTGTACTTACTAAGAAAGAAGGCAACTATTCAAATAGAAATAAGAAAGAATTTTAAGGCTGAAGAGAAAACTTGTATGTCTACAAGTGGACTGGAGAAAAATAAAATATTTACCTTTTTGGGGGAAATGAATGAAGAAATTCCATTTCCACTAAGTCAATACAAAAACTAGCAAAACAACCTACTAACTAAAACTGAATATATCAAAAGCATAGTGAATAATGACCATTGGAAGAATTTAGCTCTGTATAAGCCTGGGATCTAAGTACTATGTTTTTACCGGATGTGGCTGATACGTGTGGCTACCCTTTCCGTGTCTTCTCGGGTTCCTGGGACATCATCTACAAAGGCAATACCATAGAGTAAGAAATTCTCTAGGAAGTTTCGCAGCCCCTCCTTAGTTTCCAGGAAGTCTAAGAAGCTAACGGTTGGTATATCTGCTTCGTTGTAGATCTTTGCATTCCACAACACCCGAGGCTGGACAAACTGTTGTTTCTGTCCTTCATAGCAGTTCTGCATCAACCATTCCAAACCGTACCGCGTTATATGACCATCCGGCCCTACAAAATGTAAAAAAAAAAAAAAATCACAATCAAAGAAAGCCACTTTTATCTCCAACTTCACAGTTTGACATGATATAGCAGGTATGACTTGTGGTTATTTTGTCAAAAGAATTTGTAATCATAGATTTTCATAAATTTATTCACTGATGTTCTCTTAGTATAAGTTGTTCCTTATTTATGTCTCAGTTTTATGCTGCTCGAAGTCTTATTGACGATCTACTTTGAAAATCTGATTTATAATCATAGCTTTATTTCATGTGATGTAGAACACCTAAGATGACATGCTAACCTCAAGAAGGATTTCTTTCATGGACACCAGCTGAGTGGAAAAATACAAATTGTACTAGGTAACATCAATGATTTACAATTTTTTTACACAATGTATCCACTAAATTAGTGGAAGAATGTAGTAATTTTAGATGGATCTTTATTAGTGTCATGTTAATCTTTTATATAGACCTCCTGGTGATGATAGTGAAGATTAAATAGTAGCCAAGCAAGTGTGTATTAATTCCCACATGGGTAAATATGACAATACGCCTGCATATTCCTCCTCACTTACAAGTTAGGTATAGATTCGTCTCATCCACTCGCACCTGTGTGGGCTTGATGTCGAGTTCCACGCTGGCCGTGTCGAGGCTACGCTGGTTGGTTTTGGAATTGAAACACGAAGAGGAGCGACAGTGGTCCCGTAGCCAAACGTAATTGAAACGCATACATGATCCAGAGTAAAGAAGTTCTATGTAAATTTAAATAACATTAAATAATAACTATCTCTTCAAAAAAAATGTTTATGCTTTTAAATATGTAACAATCCAAAATTATAGGGTAACTTCAGGAAGGAAAATGCTTGACACAAAGCACCCGCCTTTAAAATGTATTTTCTTAATACCTTTGTATTCTAAATAATCCAATATATCATACTTGCATATATGAAGTTGTATATTAACAGATATTTCTTTGTATTTACATATTTGGCACATGTAGACAGCCTCAAGAAAGGGCATCCTTAAAATCAATAGTTATGAACTGGTAAAGGGTTACATATAATGTAAAATGTGATTAGATATAGCAGTTAAAAAGAGTGCTGTGAGTTTATATATTTAGCAAATGTAATACTTTTATAGAAAGTGCTCAGTTACCTGTTTCCGGACCTTAAACATTATTTGAGACAAATAGGAGTTAAAAATTAGGGATAGAGTTCAGACTAGCGTGTCACATGACTAAGCATCCTTAATTATTCATCAGCCTGTCCTAGCTTTTCACCAAGGTCGAATGGAAATGATCTATTATAGAAAATCTATTCTCGCATCTTCAGAGATGGGACAAAGGAAGAGTGGTCAGGAAAAGCGCTCTGTGATATGTATGGGTTTTTAACTTTCCTACTCAATGTGTAAAGATGTATGACTTTTAGGAAGACCCCACAAGGTTTTTCTCTGCAAAGGCTTTCTATGTCTCTGCACTGTGCATTTAATTGAACTAACAATGTAGCTTAACACATGATCACCTAGATTTTTAAAACATATATACAAGCAACTTAAAAAGAAAGAACTCAAAATACATAAAATAGTATGTGCGCCCCTAAACAATATATAAAACCATACAAGACCGTTTCTATCAAGAAAACAGATAATTCTTTAATACAAACTAAAATCAAAAATTCACAGAATATCGCTAAAATCCTTACTCCTCACACAATTAACAGCAATAAAGCAATTCTCATATACACAAGAATCCTAAAGATAATGAATAAGCTAATATTAAATATTACACTCACAGCTTGTTATGGCTGCCTATACGACTTAGATGATAGAAACTACTACCAAAACACTTAAAGCCAGGAAAATTGCAACAGTTTCATAAAATGAAGAAGCGTGTTGCAACCTGGCGTGTGGGGCTATAATTGAACTAAAATGTAGCTTAACACATGATGACCTGGATTTTTGACATGCAGACCAGCAAACAAAGAAATAACTTCTGGTTAAATTCCTTAGAAATGCCATCTAACTTTCCAGCAAATAAGAGGAATTGTAAAAATGATATAAACAGAACAAAAAAATGGGCAGGAGAACAACAAGCAGACAGATATTAGAAGCACTGCTCAAAATATAAATAAATCCATTAAAAAAAGGTTTTGGAAGAATGAATGAAAGTCTAATACCAATCTGATCAACGTCCAATCAATGTTTCCAGGCAAAAGGGAATTAAAATGTTTATTTAACCCCTTAAGGACCAAACTTCTGGAATAAAAGGGAATCATGACATGTCACACATGTTGTGTGTCCTTAAGGGGTTAAAAACAGGTAATGATCCTAGACGCTCCTAGCAATTATTACAAAGTGTGACTGACAGTGTAATTCAGAGACTGTGCTGATTATGTTAACTCACCAAAGTGATCATTGTGCAGAACCCATGAGCACATATCAGCCTCAGGAGCTGTACTGAGCCATCGAACTGACGGAAAAGCTCTGTGAAATCTGGAATAAAGGCGAACTTGCTTCTTAGTCCCTTTTGTTAGCAGGTTGCCTACCACTGCTCTAGTGAGAGGATAAAGCCACGCCAGCTTGGTACACCACATCTTACCTAGAGGGAAGGATAGCACGAAAGTGATCAAGTTCATGTTGTTTAACAGTTAGAGGCAATTTTTAGAAGGGGAGGGGGGGAGTGTTTGATATGAGAAAGGGGAGGGATAGAAATAGCGAGAGCAGGAATTATAAATACTAAACAAAAATAAAAACAGCTGGAAAACACCTCATAGAATGCACACAATGAAATACACAAATATTGAAATGACAAGGAACGTGTCAATGATGGGCTACAGAGTAATTGAATGAAGAAGGCAAAAAAAGTTGGTTCTCTGTTATGAAATAAGAGTAAACAATGGTACTGCACAATTTTGTGGACTACATATACCATGATTCTCAGCTAGCCTTTACACGGGAAATATAGTCCACACATTCTTGCAGTGCTATCATTGGTAAAAGCCATTATTAACTAACTACAAGCTCTGACTTGCTATAGAGCAATGTGGACATATAAAACACAAGAAAATACTTAAACATATAACAGATATACGTATATCATAGGGAACAGGAGAAGAAAAAGGAAACAAAGAGAAGGCAGAATATTAGATTGCTCCAATTAAGGTCAATTATCAATGGAACCACTATAGTGCCAGGAAAACATACTCGTTTTCCTGGCACTACACCGCCGGGCTGGATGGAGAGGAAGGGGTTAAACTTACCTCTTTCTCCAGAGCCGGGCGGGGAGCTCTCCTCCTCCTCTCTGCCTCCGAACCTCCTCTCTGGCTGAATGCGCATGCGCAGCAGGAGCTGTGCGCGCATTCAGCCAGCCTCAGAGGAAAGCATTCATAATGCTTTCCTATGGACGCTGGCATCTTCTCACTGTGATTTTCACAGTGAGAATCACGCAAGCTCCTCTAGCAGCTGTCAATGAGACAGCCACTAGAGCCTTTAGAGGCTGGATTAAACTATTTATAAACATAGCAGTTTCAAGTTCTTTGTTCGTTATCTTCCTGTCTTTGGAGCCGAAGAAGAATTCACAACCTCTCCACAACACAAGAGTATGGGTGCTTTTAATAGATGTCTGACAGTTCTGCTGCTAATTGGTAACTGTAATTAGTTTTATTTTTCAGTCTATGATCAGTTTCATAAATAAAGTGCACTTTAAACAGTACAACAAGGTCTGGTTTTCTTCACCGTCATTATATTACATCAGAAGAATGATTAATTTTAAGAAAAAAGGCAGGTCTCTCAGATTTCATTTGTTTCAGATCTCAAGTCAGTTTAAATATTAAAATATTTGAAATTAAATTCACGAGTGTAATATGCCATGTTAGACTCATGGCTCATCATAATTCACTATTCTACCTTTCCAGCCCAACAGGATTTTTAGACATTGTTAACCTGTTTTACGTCTGAGATTATCAATCTTGCTGATCTCAATCTATCCAATGCCTTCCAATAGGCAAAACACATCTCTGGCCAATCAGTATCTCCTCATAGAGAGGAGGCATTTGCCGTGCTAAAATTGCAGACACATGCTACAGAAACCAAAACCATAAGATTAAGCTGTATTGGCTTTGGTGACTATAGTGTCCCTTTATCTTTTATATTGCCAATAACTTAAAAAAATGTATCACTAACAAAAGTACCCCCCCAAAACAATCTCCTCCTCTCTAGTCCTCTCCTCCTATATCACCTATAAACCGTAATCCAATAATAATGAACTGTTACTTAAGGCAATATCTAAGTTAGTTCTCCTTTATCTTTTAATAAACATAATTCACTTACTGTTAAATATTTTTTTTAACTCAATATTAGTGGCGGTTTTACACAATAGCATTCACCTTCACATATAGACTAAAAACTAAGTGTAGGACCAAAATTTAAAGGAACACTAACATTAAAACTAAATATATTGATTTTTAATGTCTAATTGTTTCTTACTTAGAATATATATCCCCTCCCTAAAAATAGCATTGCAACATCAAACATGAATGCTTTCAATTGTTGAAAGTCTCCACAAGGAAGTGTCTCTTGTGACTGTCTGATTAAGGAATCCTTCATGACAAATGTAAATACTACCATTTATTACAAATAGATTTGTAGATTTGTAAATTTGCTGGGACAGGGTTTATGCACCAAAAAGCGCTACATTAAGATGTAGTGGTTTTGGTGTTTAGAGTGTCCCTTTAAAAGTTATGTTCCTCTTCTCAATATCCCCTTCCCCACCCTATACATTTAGCATAGTCCCCTCACAGCTCGATAATACACAAAACACATCAGAGTATACAAAAACACAGTGTAATATTAAACCGAAATAGTGGAATATTGTTCGAGTGGAGAAAACCGACCACAACAAACGAAAACCCAGTGGAGCGCTAAATATATACACTTACCCTTATATAAGGGAATGAATTAAACAGAATGTCTAAATGGGAGAAATAGACAGAATATGGTGTAGTATGTCTAAGTACAAAAAATAATAGATAGTCCATAAGAAACACACTCACATGGTGCTGAGCCTTATAGGGATAGGCTCAAGTCACTTGCGCAGAGGTATTTTAAGTTTATACCAAAACTTCTTCTGTGTAGAAATGTAGAGTACTCAAAAAGGAGAGATAAAACAAATATAGTGAATTACCCTCACTGTAAAAGTGAATACAATATACCAATCACTGCTCACCTTGTTGAGAGCCAAGTGACTAGGCTCTCAGGGTAATGCGCACTGTGTCTTTAAGAGGGCACAACTCTTCTTTTAGCAGAGGACAACGGCAACATATGGGACTTGGAAATAGATTAAAAATAATTTATTTACCAAAATAATGGATATATAAAAACAAAGTAAAAAAAATACAAAATACCATAAGTATTATAGTCCCAAAATGGAAGATATGCCGTCCAAAATTGTCGGCTTTCTCCACTCAAACAATATTCCACTATTTCAGTTGCATGTTATTGTGTTAGGTTAGAGGTACCTACACGAGTGTTGAGCTGCTTTTTGGTATTTCTTTTGCAACTCTACCTTAAGCGCCTTATATTTGACACAGTCCATCTCGTTTCCCTTACAGTGTAATATTAGTAAGACTCGTACAAAAATAGAGTAATTTACAGTAAGTACAAAATCTATTTTTCCTGTCATATTGCAGCAGTACTACACATGGGTTTTCACAAAATGGGTCATATCGATTTAGCAAACCACTACTTCCAACGCCTGGATAACTAACTGTTAGTGTCTAATGTATTTATAAATTGATGACAAAATGGTCGCCTTCCAAATTTGATCTTGTAAAGGCAAAATGTTGGAAATGTCCAGGTAGATTGTGCCTTATGTTGGGCAGGAGGAACTTTTTTTTATATGCCGTCTAAAGTAAGTTGGTAATCCACCCATTGCCACTGTGTATATAGAGAAGAGACTTGCCTGCCTTTGTTTATTTCTGAGTAAATGATAACCTTAACTGTGTTGTAGTCAGAACCACTCAGTCTTTATGAAAGTGTGTAAGGGTAAATTGCTCACAAGGATTGAAGCTTAAATGAACATTATACTGACAGGAATACAAACACATTCCTGTCATTATAGTTATGAAAACACATTTTAGCTCCCCAGCCCCCAATTAGGTAAGTGAAAGGTTATTTTACTCATCTTTTTTCAGGCACCGTGCAGGTTTGCAATGGCTGGCCCCACCCACAGTCCACCCCCTTGGCTGAGATCAACAAACTTGACAATCTCAGCCAACCCAATGCTTTCCCATAGGAAAGTACTGGGGGGCTATTGAGCATGAGCAAGCAAAATGCTGAGCTGCACCAATCAGCATCTGCTCATATAGATGTATTGAAAAGCCTGCAGGCTACAGACCCCAGAACAACTACATTATGGTGACTATTGTGTTCCTTTAACAATTCTCTGAACGTAAAGAATTGTTACCGGAATGAATCGCAGAAGCAACAGGTGCTGAAGAGAGAGGTACAAGTGGGTGTTCACAAATGGCATTAAGGACCACTTTCAGATCCCAGGTAGGAACCAGATTTCGTCATGGAGATGAATCTGCATTATGATTCAATGTTATTTCTCCAATTTTACGATCCAGGGCGTTGAAGAAAAGCAATAGTAAATTGGATGTCCTGCGTCAGCTGCTCTACCATCTCTGATTTTATAAGCCTTTTGTGTAGGTGTGGTAGCAATGAAATGCCTCATTCTTTTAAGGTCTAGCTAAAACCTCCATGAATTTATGAATTTTCTTAGATCTGACGAAAGGCTAAATGAGAGTGTCTTGAATTGGCAGGATATAGGTCTTCCTGTTGATTTTTTAGCAAATCTAAGGAATGTTTTTTTAAAATAGATTATTCCCCAAATCTACACATTTGCTAGCAGAGCTGCTAGAACAATGTATAAGTGGAATTTCCAAGCTCTTTTAAAAGAGCTAAAGTAGTTCTCGCCTTGACAGGCTCCCTTTAATAATTATGGATAAATTAAAATATTATTCACAATATTAAATCATTTGATACGCTTATTCAACAATATTAAGTCGAGGCATGAGTTTTCAAACTTAGAGGACCACTATAGTGCCAGGAAAACAAACTCGTTTCCCTGGCACTATATGGTCTTTAGGTCCCCCCCACCCGCAGATTCCCACTCCCGCCGGGCTCAAGAGGGGTTAAGAGGTTAAACGCTTACCTTTCTCCAGTGCTGGGCTCCCTCGGCGCTGGGGATTCTCCTCCCTCTTCCGACGTCATCCGCCGAATGCGAGAGCCGCGCGTGCATTCAATCAGTCCATAGGACAGCATTTCTCAATGCTTTCCTATGGACGGCAGCGTCTTCTCACTGTTAAAATCACAGTGAGAAGCGCGGAAGTGTCTCTGGCGGCTGTCAATGAGACAGCCACTAGAGGCTGGATTAACCCTATTGTAAACATAGCAGTTTCTTTGAAACTGCTATGTTTTACAGCTGCAGGGTTAACCCTAGATGGACCTGGCACCCAGACCACTTCATTGAGCTAAAGTGGTCTGGGTGCCTATAGTGGTCCTTTAAAGTACATATGGCATTCAACACCCTACCTGACTTCTAAACTGTCAGTACATTTTTATAAACATGTGCTCTGCTATACAATGGACATTTTATTTAATATCCTCTAGCCTACTGGAATAAAAGCATATGATAACCCTCATTAGACATAAAAGAGGAAATGTACCCTCGGTGGTGTGTTTTCTGCAATACTGTTCAGGCCGTTGTGTAAGATCCTCACAGTGGTGTTGCTGATCCTTTGAAATCCTTTGAAACCCTAGGTGCTCTGTATCAAAAATATAAATTTCAAGTTAATTGATAATTTAAGGTTTGGCTATGCTAGTTAAAAAAATAAAAAATAAAAATAAACAACCAATGGTGTTTATTTAGGAACAACATGTTGTGCGGTAAAGTGCTAAATGTTGAGTTATTCGGGAGAAATGCTCAATTAGTTTCCATGGTGATTGTTTTAGTTTTAGAACACTGTTCCAGAATACAGAGAGTTTCAAAGGAATACTGGAACATATACAAACACAAGGGGTAAAGTGTTGCAACTTATTCACGGTAATTGGTAGCATGAGAAAAAATTGTTGTGAAAATTAATTAGCTTCAAATACTCGAGATTACAAATGGCTAAAAAAAAAAAAAAACACTGCTTCTGTTTCATCTGACACTTAATAGGATTCAAAATCTTTTTGGGGGGACCAGAAAATTCCACAGCACATCTGTCTGGCTGTTTCACATTCCTGAACTGACCCTGAGTTCAAAATAAATAGTAACCATTTTAAAGTTAATCAAAACATTTTGTGGAACCTAATGACACTTCAAAGTGATTGGTTTTATGAATATTTAATATTTTTATTATTGGCAACTTATTCCACAGCACTTTATAATATTATTATGGGGCAAATTTAACAATGAATGAGATAATTACAAATAATTACAGGAACAATAGGTTCATGAGCTTACAATATAGAGGAGGTGTGGTAAAAAACACAATAGGTAGGGCAGTGTGGGAGATAGCAACTAAGAGTCAAAATTATATGTGTACAGGTTTTTATTCATTTGTCCATATTTTGCACAGACGTAATGAAGATATAAAGTATTAGTAATTAAATGGAATATTTTATCTTCAATATTTCAATATGTTCTGAAAAATTAGCATTGAATCAAAAAGGCCATTTTGTAAGATGCAGCAGGTGTGGCAAAAAAAAAAAAGTATTAAAACTATTTAAAGTAATATGCTGGCATTTTGAGAAATGCAGATTCCCAAATATCAGCAAAATGCAATCATGCACACATGCCACACATGAAGTTGCTTAGATAAAACTTGATATGTCTATTCCAAAGAGCATTCCAGGCTACTGCTGTACCTGATACATATGCCCTAAGGGCCACCTAAAGCCTTGCCTTCCTCTCTCCTGTCTGATGTTCAGCAGCCTACACAGAATGGTATGGGCATGCTCCTGTACAGTGTGAGGCAGTGAGAGAGACAGACCAGGAAATGTAAAAGGAAGTGTATGTCTATGCATAGATACTGCCCTCGCAGACTTGCACCTTAAAACAGTGCCGGTTCTGAGAAAAGGCGCTGTTTATTTTTAGAAATGTGGACTTTAACAGATTTAATAATCAAATCTCTCTTTCGTAGGGGGCAGCATGCGATGTATGCTGATGTTGAACGCTGTGTATGTTTTGTGCAATGCTTCTATGTGAGAAGATTGGAGTATGTCTGTTATGCTCCTTTGTGAAACTTGGAGAGTTTTCAGACATGCTGCCTAAGGGTAGTATAACAAAATCAGCTAAAAGAGAAAAGAAAAAGCATAAAACAATGTTTACAAAGACTATTATTCTACTAATACATTTCTCATAAAATAACAAACAAACTTCAGCATTCCAAAGAAACCAACAACACTTTGCAAAATGTCCAAAATATAATTTTGCATTATCAACACCATATTTGAAAAGACATCAGAGAGGAGAGAATAAACATTGCATCTCATAAAACAATTTGCTAATTTGGGAAGTTGTGGTTAAGTTGCAAAATAAACGCAGAAGATTTTTGTTTTCAGCTGGTTTTTTTTTTTACTTGAGTTTTTTGTAACTTGGTTGTTGTTAGCTCATTGTTCAATGTCACCTCCCTAAAGACTATATTTATTAAATGGTGCATTGTGGCAAGCGGAAAACTGCGGTATGCGATAATTCACACACGATAAAGGTATTGCTGACTTTATTTACACTACATTGTGTTAATAGTATATTAGTTTGATACACTTTATTTGCAGACAATATGGTGGTTTTTGTGGGATAGATACTTTCTACTTGGACTAGGGGCTATAGGCGATATGGTGAATTTGTATAATATTGGTAGCACTATTGTGCAACGTATATGTATTATTAGTCTGCTAAACTTTTTTCTTTATTAATGAAGATGGTATTTCTTAGGTACTAGATGTACTATGGCATCAGGTAAGGACTGCTAAAGCTTACAATGAGAGTAATTTTTTTTCTATAGTATATTTTATTTTCCAATGTATTTCAGATGCCAACTGTGTTTCACTGTCCTTGTATACACACTGTACGGTGATAATCAAGTTGAATGTGAAAATGAAAAGTATTTCAATAAGTGACAGAATGGTCGAATTTGACTAATCACCCCAGCAGTTATCAATGCTAACTTAACTTAAAGGAACACTCCAACAACCATAAGCACCACAGCTCGCTGCAATGCAGGGCTTAGCTCACTGGCTCAGAGTGCTAGCTCATCGTTCTCTTGCCAACGAGCTAAACCCTACTTAGGAACGTATGGCTCTCCGACGATGGTGGTAGGGCCCTCCTAGCACCATAACCACTACAGCACGCTGGAATGTACCTTAAATAGAACATACTGAGCACCATAATAACTACAACAGCCTGAAACAGTTTTGGTGCAGGAATCTAGCTATGTCTCATGGTAAAAAGTCTAACAGTTTACATGGGTCTCCTGCGGCTTCCCTACATCTGCATTAGTAACATCAATTCCACCGATCTTCGGACAGAATTTATTGGCCGTGTGTTAAATAGTGTAAAAATTTATATCTCTCATGTTGAAGGGGAACTTTGTCTTTAGTTGTGTCTAGAAAGGAGTCCGGAGAGAGGACACCCGGCAACACGAATGAGTGATTGTCTAATTGGGTGTGTTTGCAGTGTCAGTGGTTAGTTACGTGTGTGTAAGACGATGCCACTAATGTAACGTATGTATGGGATAGGCTGATCAGATGTATAATGTTGGTAAAGAGGGTTAAATGGAGTGTGTTTGAGAGAGAGAGGGATAATGTGAGCGTATGCCTGTATGTGTATGCTGTTTATAAAAATAATTTACCTGTCTTTTATATTCCAGGAATGTTTCTCAAGCTTCGCTTTACATTTATACTTTCGTAAACAAAATCTATTCACAAGCCACCAAACATTTCCAGATTATCCCACAATCCTAAAGAGACTATTTAGAATAAATTTGAGAGCCATGGCTGTGAGTTGCGCATTGCTCTGTGCTCAATGGGTTAATTAATTAATAAAACAAAACACACTAACCTTTTTTTTTTTTTAACTAGTGTTTACACCACGCAGTAACAATAAATGCTGACTATCTGGAGTTCTTTTTGCTTCCTTAACTCTGCAGTATCAAAGGTTGCTAAGGAAAATAAAAAAAGTTGATGAGTAAACACAATTACAGTAGATTTATACTTATGGGTTCATTAAGGTCTATTAATGTGTGCCAGACCTGCTTTACGACACAGTCCAGAGCAGATGAACCCAAATTTAAGTCGCCAGAACACTTTATTTTTTTTTATGACTGCGTGCAAATTACATTTCAGGACACTCCATCTGCTCAAAGGACTCAATTATTGCTAAATTATTATTGTAACTTCTGCTTGCTTATGCCAGCTTGCAATTTCCAAATATCGTCGACACCTTTGCCACATTTTCCCAGACATCGAGGAGTCCACGCTCTGCTGGGAGTTATACGAATAGTGCTTGCGGCAATATGTACAATTCACAAAGTTCCTTAGGAAATCAATTAATCACAGCAGACCCTATGGGATCCCTTGCAGGACTGATTGATTTCCTCCGGAAGATTATGAATTCTATTTACTGTGTTAATCTCAGATGCGTGTGAGACTCAGATTTTGGAAAAATATTGGTGAGGTGACAATTCCATTTCTAGTTATAGCTGAATTTGGTACATGATTAGGCAACAAGTGTGCAACTGCCATACAGTTTTCAGCTCGTCCATACAGTAGATGTGTATATTTATGGAAGCAACTAGGTTTATTTAGGAGAAAATAAAACACTATGACTAAATCTACTCAGTGTGGAATATTCTATTTTTTTTCAATACTCAGCATGCTAACAGAAAACGAAAACAGAAACATTTGCTATTATTATTGTTAAGTAGTTTCATTCATTTTTTTTCATTGCTAAAACTACTCATGACTGCTGAACTGGAAATCCAATAACCCTCTACCAGGCATAGGTTTATAGGACATGCAGAACACTCTCTTTAATAAAATAAGCACTGGTACTAAATGAGAAAATTCACACACGCCCTGGTCTTCGCTCACGCAGGAATCTGCTGCAAAGAAGGGGCATTAAGAAGTATAATTATTACTTTTTTAATGTGTGTTTGTTTAATGGGTTTTCTGGACAATTCATTAAAGTCTAGACTGTCCCTTTCACCTCCCAGAAAAGAAAGGGGTAAAATGACCATTGTAGCTAAACCTTAAAGAAAATAGCTACTGTTCTGAACTTTCTTAGATGGGGGAGGAATGGCAGGGGCACATAATAAACCTATTTATACACAATTACTTGAATGGGGTTTATATGTAAAAATGCAGACATTTTACATTGCATATTATAAACTGTTCTCTGTTGTGTACACAGCAGTGCCTGAGGTTTGCCATCTCTGCTATAATGGATGAGAATATCTGCATTGATAAACAATGTGAATGACAAGTGACAATGACAATGACAAAAATGACAAGTATACAGCCTGTATGGAGATATCCCAGGATACAGCACACAAGGCACCTACCTGGCACAATTAGAAATCCTGCAGACTTGTTATTTTGTATGGAGAGCTTCTCGTAGTTAAAGTCTGAATGCGCGCAGCATGACGGGAGCTGTGGTCTTTTCGTGTTCACTACAACGGCGATAAAAACAACTGTGTACTACAAGTCCCTGCATCCTATGCGAGTGTTGGCAAAAGAACCATTCGTTCTAACGGGACAAAGGATGCAGGCAGTTGTAGTTCAACCTCTGTTAACACGTAGGCATTTAACCAGGGGGTTGAACTATAATTCCCGGCATTCCGCGCGGTGCTTGAAGGCACGAATAGTGGCTACTTTGACTGTGACCTGCTTGTTGACATGTAAGTTTAAGTTTGAGCCTGGGGGAGGGGTAAGGGGATAGATGTCTTTGCATGCTGTGTTAACGTTTGGGACACCAGTCATAATTATTAGCACATTCCCCCAACCCCTCTCCCCAAGCTTAATGGTATCATTACTGGGTTATTCACTAAACTGTGACTTGGTGGGAATTCAAAGTGAATGCATAGGATTTTATTTATTAACTTTTTTTTAAAATAAAATGTACATTTTAGTCAATTGAAATCTGGCAATATAGATGTTAGAATAACTAAGCTATGTTATAGCTGAATTGGAGATTTTTTTTTTTCAAAATAGCTATTTTTGCCATTAGAAAATCACTACAATGTAGAGTTTTGTGTGAAACCGTATTAAGAATTTATTCACTAAAAAAACAAATTGTAGGCAATTGGAATCCGAATTGCAAAAATGGGCTAAAATAATCAAGCCATGAATATGTGGTATATTCACTGTGAAGTATAGCACATTGAAATCTGAATGGCAAAATTTAGGCAGCTGTAGGTGATGGCTATATTAAAGGGTTAGTCCAAACACTGTGACCACATCAGCGATATGATGTGGTCATGGTGTTTGGAGTCTACTAGAGTTGAGCAGTTCGGGTTCGTACCGAACATAACAATTTTTTGACGAACTAGAACCCGGACATTGCAGTAACAGTTCGGGTTCGAGTTCGGTGTTCGGCGATTTAATGGCCTGTTTTTTAACCCCTTAAGGACTGGACTGTTTTTGCGATGTTGTACATTTGCGACCAGGCATATTTTTACACTTTTGTGGTGTTTGTGTTTGTCTGTAATTTTCCGCTTTCTCATTTACTGTTCCCATACAAATTATATATTGTTTTTTTCAGGACAAAAGGGGCTTTCTTTACATACCATTATTTATATAATCTCATGTATTTTAATTTAAAAAAAATAAAAAAATATGATGAAAAATTGAAAAAATACATGTTTTTTGACTTTTACTTGAAAAATCTTTTACTCATCTACAAAAGCGAATGAAAAAAACTGCTAAATAGATTCAAAATTTTGTCCTGAGTTTAAAAATACCTAGTGTTTACGTGCTTTTTTGCTTTTTTTTGCATGTTATAGGGCTATAGGTACAAGTAGGATATTGCGGTTTCAAAACATACATTTTAAAATTTATCAATAGTGACATTGTAACACTATTATCTGTCATAAATCTCTGAATAACACCCCACATGTACATATTTTTTTTAAAGTAGACAACCCAGGGTATTCAATATGGGGTATGTCCAGTCTTTTTTAGTAGCCACTTATTTGAAAACACTGGCCAAAGTAAGCATTCATATTAGTTTGTGTGTGAAAAAAGTAAAAAAACTAAATTGAACGCTAATTTTGGCCAGTGTTTGTGACCAAGTGGTTACTAAAAAAGACTGGACATACCCCATTTGCAATACCTTGGGTTGTCTTCTTTTGCAAATGGTATGCCATCATGGGGGTAATTCTCATTCCTGGGCTACCATACGCTCTCAAAGGCAACGTAACCAACCTGGCCATTTTCAATGTAAAAATATTTGACCCATATATTTGACCTTGTAACTTTCAAAAATGCTATAAAACCTGTACATGGGGGGTACTGTTTTACTCAGGAGACATCGCTGAACACAAATATTAGTGTTTAAAAACTGGAAAACGTATCACAACAATTATATCATCAGTAAAAGTGCTGTTTGTGTGTGAAAAATGCAAAAAAAGTCACTTTCACTGACAATATCATCGCTGTGATATGTTTTACTGTTTTGAATCACTAATATTTGTGTTCAGCGAAGTCTCCCGAGTAAAACAGTACCCCCCATGTACAGGTTTTAGGGTGTCGTAGAACGTTACAGGGTAAAATACAGTGCTAGCAAATTAAATTCTCTGGAATTTCAGCCTGGGTTGGCAGGCAGGTCCCTCAAATTGCAATCAATAAAATTACTGAATTATGTAAAAATATTACATAAATACGCACGTAGAATTTAAATATATATGCATATTTATATATTTGAAGTCTACGTGTATATTTATATAATTATTTATGTAATTTTGTATATGGACATATGTATATTTCTTATTATTTTTATTTATTTTTATATACATAGATATATATACAAATTCATTCTAAGTGTATTTTGATATAAATATATATATATTGATTTTAAAATACAGTTAGAATAAAATTTCATATAGCTATATAATTTTTTTACATTTTTTTATTATTATTTAATTTTTTTTTATTTAATTTAAATTACTTATTATTTATATTTTATAATAATATATATATATATACAATATATATAGTTATTATATATATTATATATATACGTGTGTAATTTTTATATTAATATAAGTACATAATAATATAAAAATACACTTAGTATGGCATTATATATATATGATATATAGACATATATTCTATAGATATATGTCTATATATCATATATACACATATATAATTATTATTTTTTTTTTATTAACACTAACTTTATTTTTTTTTTTTATTTTACACTAGCAGGGAGACTGCCTGTCAGCACAGACAGTCCCCCTGCAGGCAGACACATGGACACCTATTGTGACCATGTGATCGCTGTATTAAGCGATCACATGGCCACAGGGGTCCTAATTCAGTGTGGGGAGACTGTCTGGGCTGCAGGCAGTCTCCCCACAACCGGAGCCACGCTGATCGCCGCCGGGGGAATGACGGCGATCAGGTAAGTAGCTCAGACCGTTAGGACGGTTCAGGACCGTCATCGGTCGGCAAGCCAAAAATGCCGATGACGGTCCTGAACCGTCCTGGGTCGGGAAGGGGTTAAAAGCTGCAGGGCAGCCAATCAACAAGCGTTTGACTCGTGTGCCCTTAAAAGCCATCACAGCCATGCCTACTAATGGCATGACTGAGCTTGGCCAGTGCAGCATGTGACCCAGCCTCTATATAAGCTGGAGTGACGTAGTGCCGCACGTCACATGAGCTGTTATTAGTGTAGGGAGAGGATGCTGCAGCTGTGAGGGACAGATTAGGAAAGAATTCTGGTGTTGAATCTGCAAACTACAGCGATTATTTTTGTGGGTGCTATACTACATTTTTGTACCCTGCCCTGAGCCCAGTGCCACAGAGAAATAAGCAGTCTGTTTGTTAGGTGGGCGTCGATGGCCATTTTTGCAAGTGCAGTGCCAGGCACATTACTTTAATCCTGTTCTGGTAGCTCAGTGGGCAACATCTAGGCATTTTAAATACTGCTGTGACATTGCAGTTTGACAAATTCAAATTTTTGTTGGTGCTAAAAAGTAAATTTGGGGCATGCACTTCATATCTGAGAGTCAAATAGAACCGGCAAATACTGTTGTTACATCGCACTTTGAAAAATTAACATTTTTTTGGTGCTAAATAGTACATTTGCGTCCTGTGGTGCATTTCTTGCAGTCCAATAAAACCCTTAAATACTACTGTTACATTGTTGGTTTAAAAAAAGCACACTTTTTTGTGCTAAATAGAACATTTGCGGCATGCGGTGCATTTCTTGCAGTCCAATAAAACCCTTAAATACTACTGTTACATTGTTGGTTTCAAAATTCACGACAGGGGATGTTATCACAGACAAGTGCAGCCGCCTTTCCACAGCCAACATGGACAAGCTCACGAACCCGGCCTCACCCAGCCATTGTTATACTCAAGTGCACTTATTCTTTGTTTTCTTTTTTTTATATGTCCCAATATTTTGGGTGCTACCCCAATAAAAAAACAAATAAAAAACAGTGTTGGCTACCTCCTCCTTCCTTTTGCAGCCCTCTAGCCCTTTCCAGGACTATTTTAGTGCCCAAAAGTTCAGGTCCCCATTGACTTCAATGGGGTTCGGGTTTGGGGTCAAGCTCGGGTCAAGTTTGAGTCCCGAACTCGAACTTTTTGCCGAAGTTCGGCCGAACCCGAACATCCAGGTGTCCGCTCAACTGTAGAGTCTACATGTTTAGTGTTTCACTGAGAAACACTGCACATAATTAGAAATACTTAGCACCATTAGCAGCCTGGATGGAATGAGAATTCTGTGCATAGACTCCATCCCTCAACAGCACACAAAGCATGATTTTTCACAGATGGCCGATGAAGGCATTCTTCCTTCCCCGTGCTGCCCTATGACCTCCCTCAGTATAGCCCTCGGGACACCCTTCCCCCTGCAGTGAGGGAAAGTTATGTGAACTAAGGTGGATCAGGACCAGAACTTGGTTATGGTTATAGTTAAATCCCCCCTCTTATAATATTGTAAAGCGCTACAGAATCTGTTGGTGCTATATAAATGGCAATAATAATAATAATTATGGAGAAGATGAGTTTTGACTCTATTATTTTGTTAGCAAGGGTTACTTTGAATCAGCTGAATTCTGCTGTTTTCACCTAAAGTGAGAAAAGGTAAATCTACAGTAAAGTAACATGCAAATTGTGGACCCAGGACATACCTAAAAAAGGAGAGAAATCTCAATGTATCTTTCCTGGTAAAATATCTTATAAATAAATAAATTGCAATCCTCATGCTAAACACAGTACACTATTAGACCCCGACGTTTAAGTGGAACACAATCCTCTTTGTTTTGATGCTGGGTTGAGCATGTGAACAGATTGTGATAGCATTTGGTGGAACCAGCGATAATCACAAAACCAGGAACGATTTCTTCTTGTAAGCCTGTGCAGAAAAGGGCAAGGATTATAACCCAGATTTATTTTTTTTTTTTTTGCTGCTAACATAAACTGATTTTGGGAGTGAAAACAGAGGTAGCGGCATAATGGGTGATGCTGTGATTTGCAATTCCTCCAGGAGACAGCATGTGGTTGAACATCCTGACCTCCACATTACTTGCCATGGGAGCAGTGATTATTTCCTATGCGTAGTTCGACATAGTTTAATTCATGAAAAATAAATGGATTGTGCTTTCACATCACTATTGAATTCCTTCTTGGTTCCTAGTGTCAATTTTTACTATTTCTGACTCTTATTGTGTGCATGCCTTGCTTGCAATATTGTAATAAATCTGCTCTACAAGGATGCTC